GTGGTAATATAATTTAAGCTATGATATGACGTGATTATTCTTATGTTAATAATGAATTGTATACATTATATGAAATTAAATTATTTAAACTTTAGTAAGACATTTTTATAACTCAGAATCTTTCTCCTCATCCTACTCCCGTAGGGCCGGTGAAACAGGTTTTTTTCTTTTAAGCAATCCATCCATCTCTTTCTAGGTATACCTCTACCGGTGTACTTCCACACTCATAACTAACGTTCTCCTTGTAACATGCGATTCATCCCTCCGCATAACATGCCCATACCATGCTAACATTTTACTCCTTACTTTCTCATGCTTAAGACATTTTTATTACAAAATATTAAAAATAAATACACGTAAGTAATAGTCGTAAATAATTATTCATTTTATTAAAGTCTATTCCCATCGCGTAATAAACTGTTTGCTGAGAATTATATGAACATACGTTATTTTATCAGCTATTCAGTCACTTGCTATTAAACATCCGTCCATCCAAACTTGCGCTTAAAATATAACTTTAGTAATATTGTATTTCGTAATTGGAAATATAATTAATTGTCAGTGTTGTCAAATTACTTTCCTACCTTTACGACTTTTCATCATCATCATCATCATCATCATCATCGTTATGATCATCATCACAATAACCATTACGTATCACTTTTTGTCTGCCCTCTGCTGGACATAGGCCTTCCCCAACAACGTATTAAAAATGTTTAGTAAAAACAGTAAAAAACGCAATGAATTTAATCTATTCATAATAAATACGAACATAATTTTATCTTACACATTTTAAATATCAAAGCTTCATTGTTTTTGCGATCTAATTAAGGAAAATTGTTCTTTAAATTACCTTTTTACATGAAGCAAGTTTCCTCATTAAAGTTAGCGCTGGCTTGCATTATCTGCACTAAATTAAGAAAACTTGTTTAAGAATACCATTGAGAAGCGAGTTCAAAACTGTGCCTTTGTAAACATAATTATTAACTTACGTAAACAAAGTGATACAAAAGTAAGAGAAAATAGAGCATAATAAAACAATTAATTGACATAAAAACATATCGTATCATACACAGGTAATCTAAATCATGCATGCTTGTGAAACTCTTGTCAGAAAAACATCAGAATCTATTACTTTTTTTTTTTAGAGAGGGGGCAAACGAGCAGCGGGAACACCGAGATGTTCAACGACGCCCATGGACATCCGCAATACCACAGGAACTGCACATGCGTTGCCGGCCTTTGACGAGGTGATAAGCTCGCTTCTTGAAGGACCCTAAGTCGTAGCGGTTGAGGATTGCCAGCCATCAAGATGGTGTGGATGGTACCTGAGTTCGATGACGGAACTCGGTGGCAGGAATTTCAAATAATTCTTCAGAGCACTACTAGCTAGCTTTCGAGAAGAATTTTCAAAATAACTCTTTATAACATCAGTAGCTGTTGCTCGCGCCTTCGCCCGAGTGAATTTAAAACAATAGTAAATATTTAGCTATTGTTCTCAGTGATAATACATCTTTTTAATGGTGCAAGAATTTTTGAAATCGGTCCAGTAGTTTTTAAATTATTTCAAAACATACAAAAATCCAAAAAAACAAATCGAACAATTTTTGGTACAATTATTACTAAGCATTAAATAATATTGTACATTTTTAATAGAAAAAGGAATCGTTATATTGTTTAAAGATTTCAATAGAATCTATGACAATTAAACATAAACAAGGAAGTTTCCTTCTTAGTGCAAATACTACGAACGACTTGAATAATGATTTTCATTATAAAACTTTACGTGTGTTTAAATATATTTTAATCTATTATTTTAATAAACATTAATTTAAAAAGATAACAAGCGAATACTGAGACGACATTTAAATATGTAACAGCGTCTTGAAATCCAAATTCGATTAAAATTTTTAACGTGTGATAGATAGTAAACGGCGCTTACGTGCGAAGTTTTAAAGGTACGTTTCACTAGTCCGCCTTGAATCTAATCTTCGAGTATTCGTTTAATACAAGGCATTTGTAATTATTTATCATCAAACACTTTCAGCTGTATCATATAAAGTGCTTGATTTAAATGTAATTTATTGTTTATACTTTGTTTTTGTATTAGGAAACTACCTTGTATGTTGTGATTGTAAATTTAAATTGATATCCTTCTTAGTTGGTTTATTATTAGATTATAATGTAAATAATCTGCAATTTTTATTAATTGTTTTTTAAAAACAATCAGGTATATGTAGCACTAGTTTTCGCCTGCGACTCCGTCTGCGTGGAATTAATAAAAACAGAAGCAAGTAGTCTATGTGTTCTACCAGAAGTTATGACATCCGTCATAAAAAATAGACATAATATGGTATGTTTTAACGCAATTCCTAGGTCGATTTGTATTTCAATGTTGTTGAAATTATTTAGGTGTTAAACATCAATATTCAAGTTCCATTCTGTTATATTATTAGTATATGGTACCAGATATGTCAACTGAATGAGAAAATTGTATGACAAATAAAAAAAAAAAAAGAACTCTACCAAATTATTAGTTGTAACTGTAAGAAAAATTGGAAACGTTTTTAAAGTATGGGCTGGGTATCATTTTTTAATGTTTTTAAGACTCCGGATTTAAATTTGTATTTTTGCTTTAATTTGTACCACGGCGTGTTTGTCTAAAGTGATGTGGTTTAGCCACAACTTTTTTTTGATTCCAAATTTTATTATCTTGTATGATAATGAACACGACTTTTTAAGGCATTTTAAATTAAAACATGTTTTTGAAATATGCAGCCTTTTAGATTTTAATCTGCTAATTAAATGTATGTATACTTAAGCTTAAAAAAGTGATATTTTTATGTGAAAGTGATATTTTAATGAATTTATAGAACTTGAGTCGCCATTCTCACGATGTAACCTTGTTGTTGCCGAAAAATTAAAAAAAAAATATCAGCTCTCCCTCGTCTTGCCTTAAAAAAATAAAGAAAACAATATATTTCGTATGGTTGTTACGGCAGGACAAATCCGTAGGGAGAATTGGAAATAATATGAATTGATATTCTTTATTAGATAAATCAATTTGAAAGTGGAACAGTTGTTATCAAAAAAATATTTTTATATTTTATTCTTTATTAATTTGCAGAATATTTTAATGGGTTTTATATTAGGGAAAATAGTAAGTGGGCACCAGGATACTCGGAAGAGACTGCTACCCATATATAAATCTGGTTTCAACCGTTCAGTCTTATTACGACTGTCACTTAGTGATATTTTGATTTTGAGAATAAACACAGGTTATTTTTAGAAAAAGACCTTCAAGTTTACTTCATACGCACTCATTCAAGGTACAAATTTAATTATGTTACGAAAATAACTACTTGTTTATGACGCACGTGTAATTCTACGAACTTTTAAGGCTCTCCTTAAGAGAAGCTTTTCAAAGCTTTTGTTACTGAATAATGGTAATGTTAAAAAAATTTGAAAGTAAATAAAAGATCTGATGACTTAAAATCAACTTAAAACTTAAATGTTCGGAAAGTTATTACTCATACTTAACTATTTTTTTAATCTGTTCACAAAAATATTTAACTACTGATAAATTAAATAAAAAGTAATAAAGTTGAAATTAACATTTAAAATTTCTTCAAGTATAATACATTAAAGTATTTTGGTTTTTAAAAAACGAATCTATAAATAAACTGGAACTACAAATACTACAATTCTATAGATCATGAAATACGTCAATAACATAATTATTAATTATATGAAGCCAGAAATAACTCGTTGTACGTAAAAGGATATTTTTTTTAAAGATTTTGCAAAACTTGCACAGATTATGAACGTGTTTTAAATACGTCACATGTATAAATTGTGTGATTACACTTTTTGTTATTACTACTCGTGAAAAAAATCGTGGTTACGCAACAACCAAGAGTGGACAGGAATTGCGAGTTCCGCCCAACTGACCACCAGCCTTCGCTAGTCGGAAAGGCACCTTAAGAATAACATTTAAATATACTACGTTGAATGCAATAATACTAAATTTATTTTTTGAGATTATTATCATCTCTATCTCCCTCTATCACTCTTCTCTCATCCCACTTCATAATCAGGTCGGCTCGCTTTCGTCCTTCGGATCAATCTATCATCCGTCATCTCAGTCCTCAAACCCTTCTCCATAATTCAATCCATCTCTTCGTAGGCTCACGCATAACTCCAGACTCATGTTTAATTTGGAGGCGAGATGCCGGAACATAATAAAATAGATAATGTGACAGCAAATAAACCAAAATATACATATTTCTTGACACAATTGCATCTACTAGTAAGAACCAGATTAAGTCGACAAGGTAATCGGTGTCTAGTATATCATCATCGTGTTCTACTTGCGATTTGATTCGATGCAATTTGTGAGTCATCTTGTTTAAATCGTTATGACTGTTAGTTTGAATACTTTGTAGCTTAGATTAACTACTGGTCTTCTCTTTTTATTCTTCTAAATGTTGGTCATTGTTTAGTAAACATTTAAAAAATAAAAATATACCGTAACGTCAAAAACGTTATTACAAAAGATGGCGTTGTAATAAGTGATTTGAATGGGCGAATGATTTAACCAGCGAATGATCGAACGAGTCAAACGAATGACGAAATGAATGAATTGATAAGTTTTGGTGACAGTTCTCTAGGAAGAGGATGCAGACGTTAGGGATCTAATGGTATTAAAGGGAAAAAATAGGTAGCCAACAATTAGTAAACAAAGTCTGAACATTAACAAGTTATCTTAGAAAATAGCATCTTTTCATGGATTATACTAATGGTTGTTATGTTTGCTTACCTCGAAGAAGATAGCTCTATCGTAGATGACCACTAACATACGTGTTATAAATCGTACCTTGACCGTGTACTAATGATCGGGCACGCTGCCGTACTCACAGTTTCACGGCATAATGGCATTGCTCTAATGGGATAAACGGCTGCTTAGTGCAAGGTTGTGACGCGCCGAGCCCGCCGGTCCTGCGGGCTCCGGGCCACTCCGCCGCCGCGGGCCGACACTACGGCCGTCCAATTGCCGCTAATGGCTCCACTCCAACGCGTATCCGCCTAATCATCTCTTAAGACAAGACCAGGCCCCAGTATCCCTCGTGATCTGTGAGATAGTGGTATACTTAGCCAGTGAAAAGTTTAACTTCATAATTTCGTACTAAAATCTCCAAGATGCGTTTCCAGAAAAATGTTACAAGACTGTACTAGAGAACAGGAAATTTAGTGTTGTGAGAAATTTAGCAAAGAACCCAAGATGAACTATAACGGCATATTCATACTAAATTGTTCATATGTAAATAATAGATGCATTTAATTTGTACAAAGCTAAATATTAATAACAATGAACGGCATCAATGTAAACGCTGATAAAGTCGGCGTGGATGTGGAGACGAAGGAGAAATCAAAACCAAAGAGAGCAAGCGTGAAGGAGAAACTGATGCAGATAAAATCGAACATAACAGTAGAACCTATTATAGCTTGTTATATTATGTCAAATGTGTTTTCTGGACTTGCAGTACAAAATCTAAATTTGGAGAAGGCATGTCGAGTTAATTTGGGCTACAGCGACGAGATATGCTCCGCTTTGAACAGGAGACAAACAGAAAATTACACAATGGAGGAGGCGGAAGTACAAAAGTTAACAGCATCAGTACAAGCTTGGAAAAATATCGTTCAAACGGCGTTTCCTTGTATTTTAGTGTTATTTGTTGGCTCGTGGAGTGACAAAACAGGAAGGCGGAAAGCGTGCATTCTTTTGCCGATAGTCGGTGAAGTCCTTTGTTGCACTAGTTTCATTCTGAACACATACTTCTTTTACGAATTGCCGTTGGAGGTCACGGCTCTCTCGGATTTATTTCCGTCGTTAACCGGAGGCTGGATTACCGTCTGCGTCGGTGTGTTCAGCTACATCGGTGACGTAACGACGAAAGAAATGAGGACATTTAGAGTGGGAGTGGCCAATTTGTGTATGTCCCTCGGAATACCGATTGGAATGTCTTTGAGTGGTATACTTTTGCAACAGATTGGATATTACGGTATATTCCTGATATCGAATTGCCTTTATGTTACTAGCCTTATCTACGGATATATACGTCTAAAAGATCCAGTCATATCTCAAGAACGTCAAATAGTAAGTTTGTTATATTCTATTGTCTACAAAATGTCGAAGATATTTTAGTTTAGTGGTCAATGCATTGTTTCGATAATACAAACGGCGGATTGAATGTGAGCAATTTGTATTGTCAATGCTCGACTGGTCCTACGAGTAAGTGATAAATTGCTACGTGCTCACAACGCAAATTCGATTGAAGGGGAACTCCGTGACGCCCTGTGGTTGTTTTTACGCGAGGCTCAGATAGGTGTCGGGCATATGGGCACATTGAAAATGTTGTGCCAGGACATTGTCTTCTCGCGGATGTCATGTCTGGCGCGATCATTGAATTTAATTGAGTTGCTAGCAACACACGCCTATTCACGTGTGAAAGTTTTACTATTAGACTACAGACCCAGTACTATGTATGTGTTAGTCGAAATCAAAACTAAACAATTAGTTTTCTAACTACAAATAAGTAATTGCAAATACAATAGGGATATCATCCTTTCTTGAAAATTCCATTCATTAAACAAAAAAGTTTCTTATTAAACTGCATCTACAGATTTTACGCTTTAATTAAATCTTGAAAGAACTGAAAAATTTTGTAATTAGCAAACGAAGTAATATTTTTTATTTACACAAAAGCGTTCGGAATTTTATTCATTATTAAGCTGCACGTATTGGGACTTATCGTTCCATTTCGAGCTGGATTACTCGCCTTCGATGTTAAGCTTATTATTGGAGAAATTGTCTCATATACACATATCACAATAACATATTTCTGATTATTTAAAAACCGTATTAATGTCTGCTGCATATTTTCTGTGCAATGTAAAGAGCTACTATGTGTTCATAATTTTAATTTTGAATAGTGTTATCTTATTAAATTTCACTCTTAACCCTAGCCATCCTGACTAAACTATTGGCATAACTAATGCCAGTAGTTTCTTAGATCACTCGTTTGTTTTACAGAGCCACGGTTTCGACAGATACCGTTGATATTTGATCTTCAAAAGAAGATGGCATTTAAGGAAGAAAAAGATGGTTCACATTTTCATATTATTTTAGGAACAACCAGTAGGTTGCAGAGGATGGGTGTGCTCCTTCTTCGACGCTCGCCATGTCAGGGAGACGCTAACTGTTGCTTTCAGAAGTGGTCCACGCCGGAGAAGGCTCAGAGTTTCGCTCTTGATAGTTGTCGTTTGTGTTATATTTGGACCTTTACATGGTATGTGACAAATTAGTTCTTAGATTTATTTTAGATATTGACCGTCTCAGTTATCGATTTTATACTTACGTATACTCTTGTCAAAGTCTTTACCAATTTATTTGATATTAGACTACTTTCTTTACTAATCTTTTGTTCTTTGGTCTATTCTTATGGAATTCTGCACTCTTTATTATTTTCTACTTCTACTTTACTACTATTTTGTAACAAAAAGCGTTAATGTTAAAAAAAATCTGGTTCAATCTATATTTATTCCTTCAGAGATGAGAAAGTCTGATTTTAAGTTGTATTTACTCAATTGTCTTTTAGGGACATGAGGTTTTCAATAGATGGCAGTTAATTTTATTTTTCTTTTGCTAGGTGAGATGAACGTATTGTATCTCTTCATGAGGTACAGATTCAACTGGGACGAGGTGCAGTTCAGCATGTTCTGTACTTACAGCATCATCACGAACTTAGTTGGTATGTATAAATATTATTTTTAGTAATACAATTATATTATTGTGATTATCGAGGTATATATGTGATTCTTATTACATCATTCTTACAACCATTTTGATGACGATCGAAGTGATATTTTGAAAAAAATAAATATTTTTAAATGTAAAGGTCATTTATTAAAATATTCTAGTTATAAAAATATTCTATTTTTTTTCTTCCTTTTTTGAATAAATACGAATTGATTAATATGTTTTTAACTAAGAGTAACGAAATAAGTGTCATGTTCAATCAAAAAGATATAATGCACAAGAATTATAAGTAGGCAAAAATAATTCCAGTTTATTTTTTTATAAAAAAAGTCCTTAAGCTACATTTGCATTGGTTTTAAAATTTCAAGGTCATTTCTTGAAGTCGTTAAGAATTTCGCAAGATTTAATAAATGTTCAACGATTTTTTTTACTCAAAAGTTTTTTTAGTGTAAACTACGTGCATTACAAAAATAATTTTGCTTCATATCTTATTTTAAGCTTCGATTAAAAACGTCTATTATTTTTGTCAAAGGGACCGTAAGAGGGATAATGTTTCATACAAGTTTCGGCAGTGGTAACCGACAGATGGTATATGTACATGATAAGTATAAAGGCATTTATACATATAAGGAACATCTCTTTATTAATAATTATACAAAATTTAACAAACATCCGTCGGAGATTGTAAGAAATATATCAAAATAACTTTTGCCCGCGATACCGTCCGTGTGGAACTCAGAAAGACTAAAGCATGTGCCTGTGTTCTTCCAGATTATCCTCTCTATCTATGTTAATTTTCATCGAGATCCGTTAAGCCGTTAAGGCTACAAACTCTAATATCCATCCATCTAAACTTATCTTACTAATATTATAAATGCGAAAGTTTAGATGGATAGATGTTTGTTAGCGTTTGTAGCCTAAAAGGATCTCCATGAAATTTGGCACAGGTTTAGAGCATAGTCTGGAAGAACACATAGGCTACTTTTTATACCGGGAATAGTTACGGTTCCCGTGGGATTCATTAATTTAGTTTTTTAATGTTTACTCGATCATTCTGCAACGGTTTAACATATCTTATTGAAATTTGGCATAGATATAAAACAAAGTCTGGAGTACACATGGGATAAGCTTCATACATGTGACGATATTAAGAATTACAAGAGAACGATGATGACGTCACGACGTAACTAGACAGCTATAAATAAATACCCTTGGAAGTTAAAAGAAAAACGAATAAAAAATATCCTTTCTAAATCGTCTGATCTTCATTGCCAAGGGAATACCTATGTTGATTTGCTTTTTATATCCAGCAATTTTTTTACCTTTTGATTAATATCTAAATAACCTCAAAACTCCATCTCGATTTCATGAAATATATATTTCAGTATCGCGTCTGTTTTAGTAATAAATTATATTTAATTAATATTTATACTCTGACAAACTGAAGTGTCTCGTGCAAATAATTCAAAACGAAGCGGCCCTAATAAATAAAATAAATCATAACACAGATCAAATTCCCAAGTCTCAAAATGATTATATCTTTTATGATTAACAACTAGTTAACTTAAAATAAGGAAAAGTTTTTATTTATCGTACACTGAAACTTAGTATAGCCTAACTTATCTACACTATTATAATAAAGCGTAAACACACACTTCTTTGTTGCCTAAGATGTCAGCAATTACAGCATATTTTTGAATAATTCTTTTCTTAATAGAAAGCCCTACACTTAAGTCACGCCTTAGGCTATATATTTTTACGCCATTAAACTTAGAGGGTAAATGTTTTATATGAAAACCCTAGTGTGGGAAAGAGACCATAAGAGACAATAAGAACGTATAATAAGAGACCATAGTATGATAAGAGCGGGTCCACACCTTTGTTTAAACTATCGCATAACTGTTGTGCGATTGTCGATTGTTTCGCAGCCCATTCAACTGTTTAGTTGCACAATTAAAATCGAATAGTGTGTGCACCTTCATATAAACTAATAGGAATCAAATCGCAACTCAACAGTTCTGCGATATTTTACTCAAAAGTGTGCGCGCGCTCTAAACATTCTTTCAAACTTCATAATACAGACAAAAACTGTAGTCGTTATCAGCCAGTTGGTAAGTTTACTTCTGTGTTATTTCCTCATTTAAGATCCGCTCTCATGACTTAAAGGAAGCCTGTAATTGAAGGCACGTTTATGTAATTCTGTGAATTTTTATCCAACGTCATTAACATAATCTGTCTGGGTTGGGATGATTTACGCGAAAATACGTTACATTTAGAAGGTTATAAACTTGTGTTTATCCAATTCCTACATGATCTACGATATTATTTCTTACTATATTTTAAAAGCGACTCAATATTAAAACATATTTACTTTAGAATATGTTACCTACATGTTCTTCCAGACTATGTTCTACATCTATGCCTAATTTGACAAAGATATCTTAAACTTTTCAGGACGGAAAAAACATTAATTCTAGCAAAAATCCATTAAAAACGCCGCATTTACATCATACTGTACATGGGGATTATCTACAACAGCTAAGGCTTTTTATAAAATGTTGCTATTAACGATTTTGAGAATCACATGCGAGTGCTAGGAAATCAACTGAGATAGCAGTGAATCTCAAAACATACCAGGACATTTAAGAAAGTTTATGTCATCAAATTACTATCAAAGTAAACCTTAAAACAACCTAGCGTTTAATAATAATATTTCTTCGTTTCGTAAATCTTACATGCTAAGTAAGATTTACTGGCTAATTTAGATTTAGAGGTAACTCATAGAAGCAGCGTATGTTACTGCGCTAATGAAATTCGGCTGTCGCCGTGTCGCAGTAGAAGCATTAATCATGACTATTCCTTCCACCTTTAGTTGCGGTAAATTCTACCGGAAATGTTATTGTGACATACAATATATTGTTTAGTTGTCTCGTATGTCCTGAATTATGTTTTAGCTTTACGGTGTTTGGTGTTTTATGTCCACCTTTTTACAATATTTATATTTATTTATGAATTATATACTCGTATTATGAATCTTACTTCTTACTAATATTATAAATGGATGGATGTTTGTTGAGTTTGTAGCTTAAACTTCTGAACGGATCTCTATGAAATTTGGAGTAGATGTATGGATAGTTTGGAAAACATATAGGTACTTATTTTTGAGTGTGTTTTTGTAATACCACGCGAACGGTATTACAGGTTAAATGTTGTTATAAAACATTTTTAAGTGACTTCAACTAAAGAAAAGCTAATTTTGATCAGTTATCTAGTTAAAGATAAAATATGCAATTTAACTTACGCATTGTATTAATAAGAAAAAGGGTAACATAAGGTAATGTACGAGTTACTTATTAAAGTTGAATTAAATGGATTATTAGACTGCGTACTATTAAAATTTATTATAAAAATAAAAGTGTATTTTCTCGTGTATAAATGAAAGATTACAAAGACAGAAAGATTATTATTTAACTTCAAAGAATTAACCAATAAAGTCCTCTGTAGCCGGAACTAATCTCTTGTTCTGCCGCTGCTGAAGGAAATTATGAAATAAAACGAGTTCCGCTCGCGACTTAATTTATTTCCAGGTTAGGCAATTTAGCTGCGTACAAAGAATTTATATATTTTTTAGTGCTTTCGACATTATTAAAAACGTAACTAATACAAAAAAAACGTACTTTAAACCTATCGACATTTTTTTTTACGTCAATGGCCAATAAGTGTTCCTTAGCGTGTGTTTTAGTCAAGAGAATCCAGGAAATCAATCTGGAAATCTCGTTCTGTAATCATTGACCAATGTAATAAGTGTCAGGGATATCTAGAAGTCTAATTATAGCAATTTCGTATCAATTTCAACTCTTTCTCTTCCCAGGTACGCTGTTCTCGATCAGTATATTCAGCGACTTCATGAAACTCGATGATACTGTAGTTGGCATCATTTCCTGTACCAGTAAGATCCTCGCTTCCTTTATCTTCGCCTTCGCTACCACTACTACGGAGATATACATAGGTTAGTGTTACTTTTCTTATAGCAGTTTGAGAGCTGGAGCACACCTTTGACTATAGTACTTGATTGTCGATTGTTTCGCAGTCAATTCAACTGTTTAGTTGCACAACTAAAAATCGAGTAGTGTGCGCACCTCCATATAAGCTCATAGGAATCAAAGCGAGACTAAACAGTTGTGCCATAGTTTAGTTTTAAGTCTGCACTTGTAAGTATAATAGAGTTTCTGTTTTAGGCTTAGAAATATTACAACTGCTTACAAAAGTATAACATAATTTATAACATTTTGATATATATTTTATCTAAGTTTGTTTACTGTTTTCTATTGATATTTAAAATCCAGGTACTCGTAGATACTTGTACTGTTGTATTCCACTCTCGATGTTATTGACATGGTTATGTAATTTGCAGCGCCCCTCGTGGAAATATTCAATGGTACCTCGTTCATTGCAATGCGGTCGATTGCATCGAAGTTGGTAACAAGTGAAGAATTGGGTGAGTAAATTTCACTCACTGTTACTTCCAGTGCCTTACTTAAAATGCCCTTAGTACTGGGGCTTCGGCTAGTAAACAATATTTCTTTACTTTTCATCTATCAAAACATATAATAAAATTGGAGTGTCTGTTAGTAATATAAAAAGAAAAATCCCAGATTTCGGGAAGATGATGTATTTGCGTTGCTGATAAACAAAATCACATTTAATTTTTATTTGTCTATTTGTCTGTCTGCAAACCGCGTTTGTTCCGGGCAATCTCTGAAACGGCTGGGCCGATTTCGATCGGACTTTCACTGAAGGGTAGCTGATAGACGGGCATATTGTAGGCTATTTTTTTATCTTAATATTGCGTGGAACGAAGTCGCGGTAAACATTTAGTATGTTAATGTAATAATATCAAAAACAAAACAAATTATATAATTTCCTTTGTTGATGAAAAATATTAAAAAACGTAAAACACCTGCCCAAAGCCATGTTTTGTATACGTGACGCACATTCTTGTTTGATTAAATTGAATACACAAAGTAGCACGTATGTCATTGTGTTAAAGTTAATCACCTATGAACCTCATCATAGATAACATAGGTGATGAAGTCGCGCGTGTTCTTGTGTCAACATAAACATTGTCACGTTACAACCTTAATGAGTTTAATTTATTTTGTTTATAACTTAATATGATCTAGATGTCTAATACATATTTATAACGAGCTGTCGCCTGCAGACTTCGTTAGCGCAAATTTTGACCACCCGTTACGCCGTTCGGAGATTACTTGGAACAAACGCTGAATGCGGACAGACAGAGACAATTTTTTTTAAATGCGATAGATAAAGATATTATGTAGATGTCTTGTCTATATTTATATTAACCAATTATCTATTCTATGTGTAGTCGTTGAATTTGAGAATTCCTTCGTTTTAGCATACGAGTAGTCTTTTGTTGATTTTTTTTTCGCAAACGATAGATGTCGCTGTTTAAATTGAATAGTATACATATTCATAAGGCCATATATTTTTTACATGTCTAATCGTATGCTCAAAAACAAGTATTTCATTTTTATCAAAATAATATCTCAAAATCCATTACATCGGTTTTGCATTTAAAAGTGCTATTACCGTAAAAATAGATAAAAAAAGAACATTTTTGGATTAAATTGTTAATATAAATTTAAATTGCATCTCTAAATCAAACAAGAAGACAGAAATAATCGTTAAATTAAATAAATCTGAGAATTATTCATTCAAAAAATTGATTTCGAAATTAATGCTAATGGGGATGTTTCCTAATGTTACAAATTCAAATAAAGTTATGTTCAATATTTTAAAGACAGTATTTTAAAACCTATAATAACATTTGGAGACCTTAAATGTTTGTCTCCATTGAAATATAAATTAAAAACGCTGCAATATTTTTTACCCTCCATTACTCTATCTCAAACACCAATCAGAGCTCGGTGACGTAGCTTCTTCGCAAACAACATGGCAGTATGACCAGCTTCAGTGAATGTCAGTGCATTTTGTAGTTATAATTTTTTTTTAATGATTATAATAATTGAGTTTGTGTGTGTTATATTATGAGGACTCCATTAGTAAGTGTTTTTGTAATTAAATGTTGCGTATATGATTTTATTATATTTTTTTTATTGTTTAGATATGGTTTATCTACATAATAAAAGCAATTCCAAAAATTAGGAAACATCCCCATTATATGACAGTAGCTTTCGCTCGCGACTCCGCCCGCGCGGTATTAAAAAAAAAAAAACAAAAGTGAATAGACTATGTGTTCTTCCAGACTATCTCCTATATCTGTACCAAATTTCATCGAAATCCGTTCAGCAGTTTAGGCTACAAACTCTGACAAACATCTATCTAAACTTTCGCATTTATAATATTAGTATGAAGTATGAATATAATTTATGAATATATTTTTGATATCTAATAAATATATAGTAATGTAAGTAACAAAGGTTTTAAATCCATAACCTTTAATTTGCTTGGTAAAAATCAGACGGAATCGCGGGCGACAGACAGTTTTTCTATCAACAGTCTGCAATATAGAACAATTGCAACGAAGCAATCCTAAAACATGTGTTTTTTATACGATCGTAGGTCAAGAAAGTTAGCATTCTTAGCTCATTGAGTCTTTAAAATATTTTATTTACATTTCACGTTAATAAAATTAATTAGTTCTAAAAATAATTTCATTATTGAAAAAAAATACACATTTATCGTATCTTGTAAATGTATATTTTAAAATAATATGGTAATTTCATTAATTTAATAAGTGACTTGATAATAAAAGTTTTTTTATCTGTATCAATTTTAGTTTATAGAATTTGAAGATTTTGTCTTAATACTTTTTGTTTTATAATTTTGTAGTTTCATTAATTATTCGTAAAATATTTAGCCAAATATATCTAGCTTTCGTAACATTAAAAAATGCTCAAGTCTCCTCAATCTCCCACTTTTTATAATGCGTTTGCGGTTACTACTTAGAAGTTACCGTTTAGAAATTGCGAATAACATTTTTAATCCACCTAAATTTTGAAAGCATCGGGTTAAATAAATACGAGTACAAAGTTGAATGTAATCCTACTCAAGTAATCACTGCTATTGCTTCAATATCTCTTATAAAATAGATATAATAATAATATAGTCTTTCATTCTGAAATTAGCTATCGCCCGCGACTCCGACCGCGTGGAATTAAAAAAAAAGTAGTCAAAGTGAGTAGCCTATTTGTTCTTCCAGACTATTCTCTACATCTATATAAAATTTCATCGAAATTATTATAGTTCAGCCGTTTAGGCTACAAACTCTAACAAACATCCATCCATACATCTAAACTTTCACATTTATAATATTAGTAAGATAGATACAGTGTCAGAAATAGGTGAGTTATAGTATCTCCCTAATTTCAGCGTGCCTCTTGGCATAAGCCTCCTCGAAACTCTCCCACTGTTTTCTGTCAACAGACATCAGTCGTAACTCTTCTCCAATGTGGACCGGCAGTCAACCTCAAGTCGTCCTCCCATCTTATTTGATATCGTCCCCGAAAATAGAAATATTTATAATCTACATTTTAATACATATTCACCTAAGATAAACTATTCACTAATCCTCGACAAAAGGTCATAGCTTTTATCTACGCGGAGAATGCATTTGTTGTGTGCATAATTTTGCATTATTAGAGTTGCAGCTGTTTAAAAACAAACGTTTAAATTAGCTCGTTGTTATCAATATTTCTAAGATATTTTTTAAATCCGACGTTTCATAGAAAGCCAAAGACGAAATTATGAGAGAAAACGTTAAAAATTTGCGTTAGAGTAAAATAATTACGCGGAACAACTTCATTTAATTTAATTAACTATTATAGAAATTCATAATTTAGCATTAAAATATCTATTATCAGATATAATATAAATTTAAGAAATAATTATATTTTTCACTCTATTTGGCCGTGGTCACGAAACTTGCGACGAGCAAAGCGGGGCACAGTGGGCTACAATCTCGGCTTACGCAGACATTCAAAACATGTGAAAAACCCCGCTCCGCTCTTCCCATGTCCATCCGCCCCGCTCGTCGCGCCGTGACCGCGGTCTTTAGCCCTCAGACGACAATCATTTTACCTTGTCGTATCTGCAACTAAATAATCTTAGTAAAAATGTTTCTTGTTTACATTCTATAGCCTTTAAATAATAAAAACCAGAATATTTTTTTCTTTTAATACTGTCTATGTAAGTTATTTGACGTAAGTTGTTTTGCCAAGACCTAAGTTTTATTTTGAAACAATAATAACAATAACCAATTGATGCTATCTTAATCGCGGATTTATACCTATTCTAAATGATTATCATAATATCCCTGGCAGACGAGGTTTTCATTCTCCAGATTAAACAATCTTATGGAGGAATTACGTACGACAAAAAGTAAAGTGTTAATAGTTCGGCGGTACACATCACTAGTAAAATACAAGTCGAATTACACTTTACTCTATTTGGTCAACCAATTTTGTACGATACGCAGGTTCTAACATCTTTATAAACTTTGTCTTTTAATTTCCAGGTAAAGTAAACTCATTGTTCGGGTTAGCAGAGGCCATGATGCCATTGGTATACGGTCCACTGTACTCCAGAGTGTACATGGCGACATTGAATGTACTCCCCGGAGCTGTGTTTCTTCTGGGAGCAGCTATGACAGTTCCCGCTGTGGCTATTTTTGGGTAAGTAATAATAATAATACTAATAACCACTGGTTGCTTGAGTTATCGGATTCCGAAGCCGGTGGACTTCTATTTTTTTATATAATATGTTTTGTTTTGTTATTTTTTTAAGAAAATCATGTAAAATATATTATAGATAAAAATAAGAAAATAAAGATATGAGATAATAATAATAATAATAATATGAAAGAAATAATAATAATAATCATTTAGTAAACAAGCTATGTCTTTGATTGCAATGACTATAAACTTATTTAATTCTGCTATTGTTGAACATGCAATTAGAGAATCTTTATAAAAAAGTATAATACTTTTGTCTACATTAAGTCTTTTTGTATCTTTTAAAATTTTACTGAATGACTTTTTTACCTAAGCAAAATGGTAACTCTAATTCTACCTTGTTTTTTTTCTTTGTTAATTCGATGAGACAGAGCAACATAAGGGTCAACATTATCCTTCGTTTTTATAACAATCATAAATTATTTACCCATAAAAATTTCAGTTGAAATCATGTATGTTTATCTCTTTTACAATCACTGGCTTGAATTAAATCTGTCTTGAAAAGCTGAGTTACCATATAATCAAAACCGGATCAAAAAATAGCGCGAAGTAAAAGTAATAAAATATCAGGCCCCAGCCGTGCAAAAACTTTGCAGTCAAAAACTTTTTGAGAATTAAAAATTTATTTTCAAGGTGACCAAGAGATAAAATCGGGTTGGACAGCATTTAAATAACATTGTACACTTTTAACTAATAGCCTTTAAAAAAAGTATTTATAACCATCAATATAATTCGCATTTTAACTATCTAAGTGATGTTACTAACGAGATGTTTGATAAAGATGTTTTATTATTATACGTAACTGCAATACTTTCCGGTTTCATTTAGCGTCTGTTTAAAATAGTGACTTTCATTAACTTCGGCATATTAAATCCGTTTATATTATTTAAAAATCTTAATACATGATCAGTCTTCCGCGAACTGGCGTCACGGCAGAATGTTATAATTCATATTTAGTTAATTATAATTCCAGGTGGATGTATTTCGAACAACGGGAAGATACTAAATCAGTGGAAGTTGACAATCTGAACAAGGAAGTTTAGTGATGGACGTAAATTGTTGAATTAATAGTGATGTTAAGTTCTCTTATGTTTAAGTAATGTAATAAAATTTTCCAAACAGTGTTGTTATTCAATTTAATTACATGAGTATACTTAAGTTAATTTGTGATGAATTGTTGTGAATTAAAAAATCAAATACGTGTTCAGATGTGTCGATACAACAAACAAAAGATATCTTCCTCGCATAAAATCAAACAATAGACCGCTAGTTTTGATTTGTCGTCGACAGCTGTCCGACATACTTTACGTTTGCATCGAACAAATATCGTTTTACGATACTGTGGAAATGTGATTTTTAAAACAATCTGCATTCGTAGAAAAATCAGTAAAAATATACTACATTTTTAAAATAAAAATAAACAGTGAAAATACTATTTCAAAAATGGATAAAGAAAAACAAACTATCAAAGAAGATGCGGCGGAGGAAACGCTTGTTAAATCAACAGATGAAATAGATTTAAATGTAATGACACGGAAACAGAAAATGCAATATCTAAAATCTAATATAACAGTTGAACCAATACTAACGCTATTTATGGTGCCAAGTGTACTTTCATTGTTGGCAGCACAAAACCTTTATATTGATAAAGCATGTCGTGTGAACTTGGAATATGGAGACGAAGTATGCCTGGACTTGAGACTTCGGAAAACAGCAAATCACACGATCGAGGAGTTAGGAGTACAAAAACTAATAGCATCTGTTCAAGCTTGGAGGAGTGTTATCTACACGATCGTACCTACTGTGTTAATGCTCTTCGTTGGTGCTTGGAGTGATAAAACGGGAAGAAGGAAGATCTGCATGCTGATGCCGATTTTTGCAGAGTTCATGACTTGTATGATCAATTTAATGAACACGTATTTCTTTTATGAAATCTCTGTAGAATGGACTGTGATTTTAGATATTCTTTTTCCGTCGCTAACGGGCGGTTGGTATACTATGTTCCTAGGTACTTTTAGTTATTTATGTGACATAACGTCTAAAGAGACGAGGACATTCCGCTTGGGTATTCTAAGTCTATGTTTAACGATAGGTTTCCCTATCGGTATGGGATTCAGTGGTGTTCTACTAAAATATCTTGGATTCTACGGTGTGTTTAGTATTGCCGGTGGAATACATCTGTTCAATTTTTGTTATCTTTACTTTAATATAGAAGATCATACTTGGCTTGAAGATAAGGACAAGGTGAGTGTCTAATCCAATTAATATATTAATTATTTTTTGGCACGCGATTGAGGCATTTTAATTTCTTTTATAGAAAAGGCGCAGAGGATTTTTTGGATTTCTTTCTGAGTTCTTTGATTTCAATAGTCTCAAAGAAACTATGGGAATTGTGTTTAAGAAGGGAAGAAATAATCGACGACTTCAGCTCTGTCTCATCCTCACCTGCGTTTGTTTACATTTTGGTCCACTGATGGGTAAGTTATTTTTTACAATCTAAATATTTTCATATTATTAGAACTAGTTTCACTAAGGATGAGATGTACCATCTAAGTATAGTTATGTATACCTTTTATTGCAAATACTTTTTTTATAGAGTAATTGTTTCACAACATACTAAACTCATTATTTGTTGTAACTAATCAATCAACAAAATAATACATACTATTTAAAATTATCTTGATATCTAGAATGACTGTCTCAAGGTCAAATAATAAGGTTTAAGACAACTCAATGCAAGCTTTCGCTTTTCAAAAAAATTTAAATAAAAAACCGTACAAAGCATACAAAGTGAATGTTTTTGCATATTTAACAAATATTTCAAACAAAATTCATAGAATATTTTCTTCAATAATGTACAGGATGTAAATCCTGCGTTTATTATATGTTGAGTAGAGATATTGACATAACATTCCTTGATAGAACAATTGACATACACAATAGAAAAATGTTATACTTCTGTGTCATTTATTCCGTCTCTTGTGTCAACTAGCGTTCCTCTATTCTCGTGGATATGACTAGTTATCTTTAGTCAGTGTTATTAGAAAGTATTTTGGAAATTCACTACGGTATTCTAAAAGCATTAGTTTAAAACATTTAATTCGATTCAATGATCAAATCAAAATCAAATGCATATCCTTATAGCGTTCGTATTACTTAAAATGATAATCAAATCAACTTAGCATAAACTTAGCATTTGCATGTTTTGTATTTATTTGTAAACTAAGAGTAGATAAATTGAAGTAATTCCACTAAAATAACTACAATGACAATAACTTGTATACCAGTTCATTAAACTTTACGTCTCAGTGTCGACTCCTAAATCAACAGTTGTAGAGCCCGCTTTAACATCTTCGCACGAATGGGTCGGCTCGCCCGGTGCAATACCACGACCACACAAAAAACTGGCGTGAAGTGGAATCTATTTCACGTTTCGTCTGATGAGTGTGGTGCCGAAAGCTTTTTTTTATGAGGAAAGGATGGGAAGGAAAAGTGAATTTGACGGTGGAGGAGACGCAGAGGAAGGGGAATGTCCTCTTTATGTGCTTCTCTTCCTCCGTCAATTAAGGGTACACAACGCATCTGCAATTGCAGACGTTTATGGGCGGCGGTCGCTTTCCATTTCTGTGGATTCAGGTGGCCGCTTGCTAGTTTGTCACCTAATATTATAAAAAAAAATCATGCTCGTCACTGTCTCAAAATCAGTTAACACTATTTGCTTGCAAGTTACTTGCACATATCAGCTACATGTATTATCCCGTTTGACTATTGTAATACACTTCTTTCAGGTGAATTAAGTGTGATGTACATTTTCGTCCGTTATCGTTTCAACTGGGATGAAATGAAGTACAGTATATATTCTACTTACAGTCTCATTATGCATTTAATAGGTAAGTTAAGATATCGTAAACATAATAAAAAAAACTCAAGACAATAGTATTTTTCAATGCAAAGCTAACTTCATCAGTAGAATGTGACAGTACGAAATAAATAATGGAACGATCGCAAACAGGACTTGTTCATATAAATATTTTAATTTTTACAATAGAGGGTGATGCGCCATTATATAGACATTTAAAAAATATATTATCTAATATGAAGTGTTCTTATTACAGGTACGGTCTTCTCGATAAGTATATTCAGCAAGAAAATGAAAGCCCACGATTCAGTTTTGGGAATCATCTCGGCGTCAAGCAAGATCGCTGGGGCCCTGGTTTTAACTTTCGCTGTCAAAGATTATCAGGCTTATTTGTGTAAGTTAAAACAAATTATTAACCCTTGCTCTTTTTCCAAGAAATTTCTGTCCCTAGATAAAATTCCTTAGTTATCACTGACTCTTGCTTCCTTATCACTGATTCCGGTCCATTATAATTGCTGATATTCGTACATCGTATCCGTACTGGTGTTTAATAAATAAAAAGTCAATCCATTTCGCAGGTCCATTAGTCGAAGTTTTGAATGGTACCGCAGCTATAGCTCTGAGATCATTGTCTTCTAAGCTCGTCTCCTATCAAGAATTAGGTAATTCATTTTCATCATAACCTTAGTTACTTGTAGGTGTTTTGTTTTCCGCATCTTCTTGACCAGCCTACGCTTAGGACGATATTACGACCTTAATTGCTTTGTGCCTCTTTAGAAATAAAGGGTTCCTTAAACTCCAGGTTTAGTAAAATAAGTACTTTTTTTTAAATATTTTCTGCAAATTAATCGTTTCGGTCAAGTTTGTTATAAAATTTAAGGTCTCAATTCATATACAGGTTTTTAGGTCATTCAGTTGTTGCTGGCCTTTAAATATTTGGCTATATTTGTACGCTATCTTATTCGGTTATTTTTTATTAACGTGAGTCAAAGATTAATTATAGAAATATATTCGTGTTTCAGGTAAATTAAATTCATTGTTTGGTATGGTTGAAACGATCATGCCATTGATATATGCACCGATATATACAAAAGTGTATGTAGCGTCACTGCACATTTTACCTGGGACTGTGTTCTTACTGAGTATAGCATCTACGATACCAGTGTTGGTTATATTCAGGTGAGATTTTTTTTTATAACATAAGGTGGCAAACGAGCAAGCGGCCACCTGAATCCGCCAAAATGCCGAAGCGACCGCTGCCCATAGACATCCACAATTGCAGACGCGTTACCCTTATCCGACGGAGGAGGAGACGCACATAAAGAGGATATTACCCCTTCCTATGCATCTCCTACATCGTCAAATCCAGTTCCCCCATCCTCTCCTTATAAGAAAAGGGTGGTAAAGAGAAAGGGACTTAAACTAGGCCCCGGCACCACACTCAGACGAAACGCGGAATTGCTTCCATTTCACGCCTGTCTTCTGTGTGATCGTGGTATTACACCGGGCGTGCCGGCCCATTCGTGCGAAGATGTTAAAGCGCGCACTACCACTGTTCACTGTTCAATCTTACTTTATACATGTCTATTAATTTTACTGGTTTGTATTTGGCAAACAATTTTGTCAATTGTGGCTATTAGAAAACATTTGATTGAAAGTTACTGTTTGTTTACAGTCTTATCTGCTGATATTTTAGTCGCATCGGTCAAGCCAAAAAATTATAATACGAAATTACTGTTATATGTCCACCTGTATACATGTTCATAAAGATTAAGCGCTTGATTAATTTATCGTCCGATAAAAAGTCCATAGTCTGCGAGAGCTCTTAGCATAACTATAAGGGATATATGAGAGTGTTTCATCATCATCACCAGCTCACTATACGTCCCCACCGAGGGGCTCGAAGCCTACCCTAATAAGGTGTGACTAGGCCATAGTCAACCACGCTGGCCAAGTGCGGGTTGGTTGACTTCACACATAGCTTTGAATTTCTTCGCCGATATGTGCAGGTTGCATCACGATGTTTTCCTTCACCGTAGGAACGTCGGGTAAATTATGTACATATGAAAATTCGAAAAATCGAAAATCACATTGGTACATGGCGGCGGGATTCGAACCCAAGACCTGTAGATTACAAGTCAAGTATTCAAACCACTGAGCCACCGACGCTCTTAGTGTGAGTGAGAGTGTTTACTTAATAGCAAATACCTTAATTACTAATAACATAATCCGTTATCAGTTTTAATTTTAACGACATTAGATCGGGATTTATAAAGAAAAATTGGTGTTTTAAATCTTTTTTTAAAATAGATGGCTCGGAATAGCGATAAACAGAACTGGATTTTGCCAATTCCTACACCAAGTTAAAAATAAGCGATCTCTTAATGTGACAGATGTAATTAATTTAACCTTACTAGTCCCAAATGGCGATATTTAAAAAAAAACTGCATAAATTTAATATTTTGATCTATATGTATACAATTTAGCCACCTCAACGTTTTGTATAGAATGGTATTTAATGAGATTTTTTTAATTCCAGTTGGTTTTATTATGAACATCGAAAGAGTGTGAAAGAAAAAGAGATGCAGATTGTAAGAAAACCTGAAGAATCTCATGAAAAGGATGAAAACGATGATATGCTTGAGAAGAAATCTCAAGTAGAATGTAAGTATAGGATATCAAGTCTTTTAAATCATTGTTGTTTTTTTTTATTTGTGTGAAATAAGGATTAGAGATATGGATTGCTTGTTAAACCTTTTTTTTTAATTTTAGGTTTGCTCCATGAAGTTAAATCAACAGAACAAACCAATGGTTCTAAAAATGGTCAAGAAAATAAAAAAATATAATTAAAAATACATGCTATTTTTTTAGTTCCTAGCTTTTAGGTTTAATTTGCGAAAAGTATATTATGTTCCAATATTGCTAAACATATATCCAGATATTAACTGATTTAAAATATATATTTTGCATACTTTCGTCAAATTGTTACTTACTATAATGACATTTTTATATTTGTAGACTAATTCCAAATAATATAAATTAAAAAATCACTTATTTAATTATCTTTTATTTTATTAACATTCAACTACTGTGATATTATACTACGTGTATTTGTCACTTCCTTACCAAAAAAAAATAAGAAGACTTCTCATTTTTTTTCTAATTTTTGTACAAAATGAATTTTCGCCCGCGATTCCCTGTGCTTGAAATATAAATAAAAGTGAATAGCCCATGTGTTCTTCCACACTATCCTATATATCTATGCTAAGTTTCATTAAGAACCGTTAAGTCGTTTAGGATACAAACTCTAACAAACATCCATTCATGCATTTAAACTTTCGAATTTACAATATCAGTTTTATTTAGACTTACTAGTAAAATTGCCTAACAGAATCCGGAAGGTAAAATTATGAACCCCAAAATTCATATTTCATTAACAAAATCCTATAAATTAGAAAACGAGTGACATCACGCTGTTACTAAATACCTGCCGCTTACTCGTTAATTTAATTCCTGAGCCACATCAGTAGCGCCCCTTTTAATTACCAACGTTTAATGAATAAGCGAAAATTAGTTACCTTTTGTTTGATTCAAAAACCTTTTATGCGATGTTCTCGCTTATCTAAATAAGCTTTTATTTTATACATAACTTTGTTTATTGATTGACACTGGTTATCAAAGAGTACCCTTTACGTGGCACAGATTATACTAGCGTTTGTCCTTGTTTCTTCTGTGCAGTATTAAAAAAACAAGTAATTAGTTTATATTCTTGCAGCTTTTTAGAAAAAGTTTGAGCCACCTTGGAGCTTTCATTAGGTTTGTATCTAACCAATTTTTAGGTCTTCAACGGTTTTTCAAATTCCGTAAACTCTAAATTAGTTATTTCCTTCTTTCATAGCTTAAAGCTGCAAGCGAATGTGGTACTTATTCACATAAGATAAAGCGTATAAACTCAATTTACTCACATGGACTTTAGTATGCGACTGAGGATATAAATAAGACTTAAAATTATCCGCAAGTTATTTCACTGGCTCTTATAGTGTTAACTCGTGAGATAAAATAAATTCCTTAAAAAACGGTTAACTTTAGTAACATATTTTCATTTGTTTTTTTTTACGTAATAAATAATATATTCATGACTTTCAAATAAAACAACTATCAGCAAATACTTCAATACTAATTATTAATAAAAAATATTACAAGTAAGTTTCGTATTTCTAGAATTTTTATCTAATAAAAAGAATTACGTTAAGCACTTCAGCAATGACTTTTCAATTAGGCGCCTGTGAAAAAATTTGCAGCAAATCCTTAAAAATGTTACAATTGTCACCCTACTAAGCGTCCGCTGATTTGGACAAAGCTTCTAAACAAACCAAAGCATTACTGTGCGGTTTCTATTCTAAACTTCAGATTTTCTTGCAGACACCGACTTTAAATTTAACCCCCACAACGCGGTGTACAAAATATCATTCCATACTTAAAATTCCATTCTACGATATATTTTTATCAGTAAGGAAACCACAAAAAATAACACAAATAAGTAGAGGCTTCTAATAAAATCTAAGACTCAGTAGCACAACATACAATATTGTGAGAAATTCGGATGTATTAAGTAAAATAAACCTTATTTCAAGGGAGTAAAGTATACTAGATAATAGGTACTCGAGTCAAGAATGTTACTGGGCTACTGGGGCCATAAACAAGAGTTAAAATTATCCACAAGTTATTTTACTGGCACTTGAAGTCTTAACTCTCTATTCCGGTTACTATAAAATGTAACGAAAATCTATTTACACGTGATTTTATCTCATTTTGATGAAAATACTTAAGCTGTTATGCGATTGTCGATTGATTTGCAGTCAATTCAACTGTTTAGTTGCACAATAAAATAGTAGTTTGCACACCTCCATATATATTCTTAGGGATCAAAGCGAGACTAAACAGTCGTGCGATAGTTTAGTTATATCTAACGCCCTTTAATTGATTTTATTTTAGACAAATATTTGAATAAATGAATGAATGAATATGTATTTATTGCCACAAAATAGAAATTACATAAAAGGACTTATTCTAAAGAATCCACAATCGTGGCAAAAGGTATTTGCTTGTTATTTTAGTTACATATCTATTTTTGTCCTACAAATTTATTAACCCATAATAAATATAAATATTAAAGATATTTTCTTATCAATATTCGCAATCTCCGTCATTTGCGACCTCATTTAATTACGAATAATGACGAAGCAAAAATTATCTTTTGTTCGATTCTAAAAACCCCTTTTGAGCGACGCTCGCGCGTGTCTTAATGAGGTTTTCGTATTTTAAACACAGTTTTGAAAATAATTAATGACCTCGCGTGAAAGGAGCAATGTTTAATATCAAACGACCTCCAGTATTCATGAAAGATATTTTAATTACGAAAATCATACTTGTAATTTAATATAGACATTTTTGTGGTTAATGTCTTTAGATAGCGACCACAGCTTGAAGTTCTTTGCTAGTATTTATCTTGCGTCTAATGTAAATTAGTTGTTAAGTTATCGTTTCTTATTTTAATTCTCAAAGAATTTTGTTATTGATGTTATTATAATCGCAACCTAACGTAATGAATGGTCCCCTAAAGTTACAAATAAAATTATTTCGTCATTGAGACAAAAATAACTCTTGTATATGAGCTGTCATATCTGTATCATTACTTTGAGTAACTTAATTAAAATAATCGAATTAAATAATTTACCCCCGTTACTTGCAATGGCCACATAATATTAAGTAATCTATCATCTGTGATTAAGCTTTTTAACATTTTTTTAAGCCAGAATACTCTATTAAAGTAAAATCACAACTTACGTAGAGCTAATTGTTAATTAGTGCTAAGTAGATTTTGAGAACCATGATGATTGAAATATAAACAGAGATTTTATTTAAAAACATCTAATGAAGTTTCTGAATATTATCTCGGAAACGTATCAACAATCTCATGTCACAAGTTTCCGAAGCTGAAAGACAAATGAGGAGGAGTGGAAGTGAAAAGCAATGTTTTGCTCTGTGTGATTTACCTCCGTCCTTAATTACGGTCTGCGTTGCGTAAAATTATAAATTCAGCTCGTTTTGCATACGTAATGAATACAGGCAACTTCCAAAACGTTGAACTTTGCTCTGACACACGAAACAGTAATTAGCAAGTGCGAATTAAGCAAAGGATTTGAGACAATTTACTGCAATTGTTTTCCTTTATGTATTATACTTATTCAACAACAATATTTACTTGCAGTGTAAAAAAAACCCTGCTGTTATTACAATTTTTAAATGTCTATAAATGTACTCTATTTTCAATAAGATCTTGTTTCTATATTTGTAGAAATCTTAAAAAAATATGAAAATCAGAAAAACGGACAAACATCGAAATGTCAAAATATTTTTAAACGCAACGATGAAGTCATGCTTTTTGCGTAATTGCCATCCAGTAGCATTGTCCAGTTGCCTTGTTTTCTGAGGTGCGTTGATTTTTTTTAAACTCTAGACTAATTGGATTGCTTTAAGTGGATTTGCCCTCTTCTGAAAGTCGAACGTTTCCGATATTTCTTCTGTAGCATTCGAGATCGAGTAAATGTTTGTTGCTAGGATTTTTAACGACTCAAAAATGGGTTAAGCTGTACTTTTTATATTGGAGAGATTAAAAATTTGTAGAGTAAAAAAAATTTCGCATTAAAGTATTTTATCTCGTTTGTTTCCGTAATTATTAAAAGAATTTTAAGTTTTATGGTTCGTTAACAACCGAATTCAATAATCGATCCGTAACATTGATCTGAAGATTACATAAATTAGTCTGTGCTCCAGAAAATAGATCGGAAACGAATAGGGCTTCGTTAAATTAAAGATTGTTATACATACTCGTGGATTGTTAATGCTTAGATTAAACTTGAAATAAACGTGGTTGAAATAAATTAAGTTAATCATAAATACGTATCTTCGTTAAAAATAGCTTGGGTTAGTTGCGATTGTTGGGTTCTTTAAACCATTAAATATTGAAGTAAGTATGTTGAGAATGTTGAGTAATTTCTTGTTACCGAGAATATATCCGGGAACTTTTAACATGAAGTGTAATTTTATTTAATTTTCCTTTACACAGACAGATATATTGAATTCTTAAGGTAGGGTCCCAGGCCGCGGGGAGATCGCATTTTATCGCCGCAAAGGAACCGCGCGGGGGAAATAACTTTGAGTTACTTAATGTAAAATTGTGACTCACAATTTAAGCTTTATAAACATTCTATTAAAATGTTTTAAAAATGTTGCGAATTATCGAGCTATGACATAATTAATAACACTATTATTCAATTACAAGTTAAATCTCACACAGCCTTCTATGGTAATGTAGAATGAATCTCCTCAAGCATTACTTAACCACATTTAATAATAATAAAAAGGAAAATCTCTTCCATTTTAAGACTCCTTTATAAATAAATAAATTAATTTAAACCTTTTTATTGTCATACAAAAATATACACAGAATTGTACAAAATAAAAACATATGTCAAAAATTGTAACAGATGGCAAAAGGGGGAGACTCAGCTTAACCGATACTGGTTGAGATCCAGTGGCGAGCTGGTTTTCGGCCACCCCTTCTTCCCAAGATGTATAAGGGAGTGTAGATAGTCGGAGCAGGTTTAAAGAATAAACAACGACAAAATCTTCAAAATCAGGCAAGCTGTCAAGTTCATACGATACGAAACATCTGTTTTTGACCGACTTTTTTTTAAATAATAAAAGGGGGCAAACGAACGGCGAGAGCACTGAGGTGGCCAACGACGCCTCCGTAAAACCAGAGGAAGTACAGATATGTTGCCGGTCTTTGAGGAAATCCTCCAACCTACATTCCAGTCATATACCGTTCAGACATATACTGTTAAAAATATGTAATTAAAATTGAATGGGGAAATTGACTTTTCCAAATATTCATCATATGGTAGACCTCATAGGTGTGTTAATTATGATACCGACAATCGGTGTTATGGCATACTCAACAAAATAAGGGCGTTATGATAACATTATTACCCTCTTTCCTTATTACTTTAACTTCGAGCTTCATCCTTATCGTGGCAATTTCATTACGATTAATGAGTAAGCGAAAGTTGGCTATTATCTCGGAGTAAAATCCTTTCGTTGGGAGCCAGCGTATATCTTTTACGAGCTTTTAATATTAAAGCTGTTAAGAGAATTTTAATTAATGACTCTTGAACGATGAGGGAATGTTTTATGATATCATGTATCGTGTAAATCTGTTCTCATGAAACACGTTTCCTTTGTTTTAAAATAGGAAAGCTGATAAAAAGGGCTTAACTCAAAGTAATATTACAATGTTCAAAAAAAATTTTGCTCCTGCATGTTACCGTTATACATGAGTTGATAAGGATTCGTCATTGTGTATTGCTATTGCTGTATATTGCTTATATGGTAAACTTCGTCGTCTCCTTCTTGAATAAATCCGTGTATGGGATTCTTTTTTAAATTTTCTATTTCGTTGCTATTAATTTTACTCGCAGCAACACTCTTGTGGACGATAAAGAACGATCTCTCTACGAGAGTCTATGCCGCTTGGTTTCAAAGGAATAATCACTCTACAGAATTGCACTACTCTGTAGTCAGAAATATATCGGCATTTCTTTAAATAATTTAAATTCGCTTGATTATAAAAACAGGCAAGTGATAACATGAAACAAAGCTATACCCTAGACAGGGTCTTTTTAGTATAAATTAAATTTCACGTGCTATTATTACATACCATTCGAGAGTTTGTAATAACATAGTGCATTTGTCGGGGGATGGGATGCGTAGGAAAAATATCCCTTCTCTGTGCAGGGGTCACAAATGAAGAGGTTATATGTTGTTGATTAAAGTTGGGAACAAGTGAATGCAAATATCTATGGATAAATGTCGCTTTGCTTATTCCAGTGGCTGATTGCTCGTTTGTCAACTATTACTATAAAAATATTAACGTCAACTAATTGCGTAGATAGTTTGTTAACATGCTCCCGTATTTAACATGATGTCTTTTTAATTATGAAGGCTTAATTTATATTAACAGCATTATTGCTTTTGAGAATGAATTCAAGTGCAATAATAAAAATTAATTTATTTTGAATGAATTTATTTTATTCACAAATAAAGTTTAATTTTTTTCAGGATCTGATAAATTTTGTGTTGCCTTTCGTTTGTCCTTTTGATGTTCGAAATAAAGCCAACTGAAATTAAAATAAACGTACAATTGTACACAATTAAATTAATAAACAAATAATTATTTCAAACGAAATTAAATTTCATCTAAGATATTAGAATGTTATTTTAGACGCCGTTCAAGTGTTCTTAGAATCATCTTTATGAACTTCAACTTTAAACTTTTGATCAAATGAATTGCTTGAATAAAATGATCAATATAAAATGCTACATTTTTAATTCATACTTTTCAAAATGTAACAAACATGAAAATATTACACAAGGTTCAATAAAAATAGAAAACATCTTACCCAAATATACCAATCGCTGGTAGAGTTAATAATGCTCCCAGAAGGAAGACAGCCCCGGGCAAAATGTTTAGAGTCGCCATATACGTTCTAGAATATAAAGGCCCGTACACAATGGGAGTCATCGCTTCAGCCAATCCGAATAACGAGTTTACCTTGCCTGGGAAAACCGAATCGATTTAAAAAAAAATGTAGACTTTTTTCAGATAATGATTTCTTATCACTATCTTGTATACTGAAGATAGATAATGAAATGTTTTAGATTATTCCAATTTTACACTCATATAGTATAATTATTGGGTATTAATATTTTTTAAATAGTTAGTTTATTTACAATGTTGCTTACCAAATTCCTGTCCACTGACCAGTTTCGAAGCTATCGATCTCATCGCTATAAATGATGTACCATTTAGTATTTCCAGAAGTGGGGCTGCGTAAAAAAGAGATATTAACACAAATAAATCAAGACATACAAACTAGATGAGGCTTTATAATCAAAGTAAGGTTACTATCAAAATTCTTTATCGTAATCAAACTAAACTATCCATGGACCTCATATTTTAAACAATTATGAAAAAGGTTTAGAGAATTAATCCATATCTAGTAGTAAAGTACAAAACACGAATACTGGATCCAGATTTCTTATATTATTAAAATGACTAAGACTGAATGAATGACTATGAAGGTAGAAGAAGAAGAGAGTATTGAAGGATTGTCTGAAAGAGGATGAAGAAGGACCCCCGCAGGGTCTGAAACTGGTCGGTGCCGTCACCGGAAAAAGAAAAGTATACGTGAGTAAGCCGTAAACAATTAATTATAGAATGTCTCACGAAAGTTTAAATAATTTAAAGAGGATACTCTTAAGAGGGGAGTGAATTCAGAATTCGGAAGCCTAATTTTAGTCCCTTTTCCTTTCCACCTTTTTATTAAGAGGAAAGGATGGGAAAGAAAAGTGGATTTCACGGTGGACGAGACGCATAGGCAGGGGAAATGTTCTCTTTATGTGCGTCTCCTCCTCCGTCAATTAAGGGTAGGCAACGCATCTGCAATTGCGGATGTTTAGGGGCAGCGGTCGCTTTCCGTTCCTTGGATTCAGGTGGCCGCTTGCAAGTTTGTCACCTTATGTTATAAAAAAAATAAGGGCTGATATAGATGTATGGAGCAGTACATACTGTGCACACTTCTTTGGGAGAAGAGCAGGTTAACGATGATGAGACGAGAGATGAAAATCTTAAAACAGTTGACTAAAATAGTTCAAATCATTCATGTTATCAGCAGTAAAGTCGTTTATAATATTACTGTAAATTGTAATTGTTATTTATAACAATAATTAATAATAGGCATTTATCAAATCTTCAAAATTTGTGAACCATGACATCATTTCCACTATTTTATTTATCAATATTATCAATTATATGGATTTATGGCATAGATTGAGATTTTAATCATTTCTACGCAGTATTTTACAATACGTATTCTGAGGTATCTATATCGGATATTTACATAGTACATAATACCGGAAACCAGTACTGGGATCCATTCATAATAATGCAGTTATATCATACTTCATTTAGTCATGCAGTTCAGCTTTTGTTCACTTAGATATTTTACTATTAGTTAATAATATTTTTATATCAAAGGTACAATAATTGTTCTACTTTCCTTCAGTTCACTTGGATTAGTTCTTGCTATCAAAAGATTAACATCACGCAATATTTTTAAAAAATGATTAACGATTCACGCTCGAAACACGATCTAGTAAATATCATAAATGTTGCATTTAAGCAGATAAATTAATTTCATAGCCTAGTTTAACATGAATTTTTCCTCTTTACCAAATCAAAATGATCTTGTTTTTTTAGTAAAACCTGTATGTATATACTCACCTAAATATATTTCTAAATCGTTTCTTGCAAACGCATACGCAAATGAAGCCACAATCTTACTCGTACATGAAATTATTCCCAGCAAAGTATCGTCCAATTTTAAATAATTACTAAACAAACTAATGGAAAACAAAGTTCCTGGAAAAATATTTGCATCAAAAATAACAGCTATTACTATGAATTCACTATAAAACTTTAAAGAGATTAAAATTGCACTCACCGAATAGATTCGTAACGATACAATACGTCGTCCACATGCTATACTGTATTTCGTCCCAATTAAATCTATATCTTGTAAACAAATATAAAATACTAAATTCACCTGTAATCATAAGAAATAGAAATCAATTTCAATTGCAATTTACTATCAAGCTGCATAAACAGCTATGGTCTACTGGACTCAAGTCCGAAGCAGCATTAGTAAAAATGACCCCTTAGCTGGTACACCTCCACACAACGACAGGTGAAAATGAAAGCAAAATTGTAAGAGTTTAACATATTGAAATGACTCAAAATTACCTTGTGAAGGTCCAAACACCACACACACGACGATCAGAAGGAGACACACCCTAAGTCGTCTGTTACCACACCCTTTGCGGAACGCGACTTTAAAAGTGTCTACAACTAATTTTGTGTCGAAGAATTCTAATATAAAGCCAATACATCCTTTATTTTTCTGAAATAGTTTAAACAGTTTATAGATGCAAAATAAGCGAATTATATTGCTTTGATATCGCTTCGAAATCTAAAAAGCGTGTAGAAATAGTAATTCCTAGGATTAGTTGATTACGTAGGTAACTGTAATAAAAATTAAATACAACCAACACTATTATCATGCATAGATTTGAAGTATTTGTAAGGCAAATACGGATTTTTTTTAATATGCAACACACTTTTAAATATTTGCACAGCGTTGAGCCCTTCTTACCGATTCGCATGTTGTTCTCTTGGTATCCTCCAAGTAATAGTATCCATAAATTAAACTGAACAAATACAATAATGCTGATAATGAAAATATGCCGTAATAGCCAATCCAAGTCAGCAACAGCCCACTTAAAGAACTTCCAATAGGATATCCCAAAGACATACACAAGTTGACAATACCGACTCGATATGTTCTATCTTCAGTCGTGGTTATATCACCGATATAACTAAAAACGCCTATAAAGTTCGTAAACCAACCACCTGTTATCGCTGGAAAAATAGATTCAGTCAACGCAGTCACTTCAACAGGCAATTCATAAAAGAAATAAGTATTAATCATGAATCCAATGCATGTTATTAATTCCCCTACAATTGGCAATAGAATACAGATTTTCCGCCTTCCTGTCTTGTCACTCCAAGCTCCAACAAATAATATTATAAGAACAGGTATAGCTGTTTGTACTACATTCTTCCATGCTTGAATACCAGCTATAAAAGTCTGTACTTCTTCCTCATATTCCGTGTAGTTCTCTGTCTGTCTCAGTTTGAGTGCATCACATACCTCGGTGCTGAAATTAAGATTTACACGACAAGCCTTTTCTAGATTTAAGTTCTGCGTCGCTAGAGATGCTAAAACACTTGGCATTATGTAACCTGCCATGATAGGTTCCACTGTCATATTTTCTTTAATCAATTTTAATCTTTCTGAAATTGTTAGTTTTTTGTTTTGCACACTCTTCACATTATTTTCTGTATTATCTAAACCTGCTTTCAAAGGAGAAGTTTCTGCACATTCATCTTTAGCGTCTTCGTCACTTTTTTGCTTACTTTCTAAAAAAATCACTTTGTTTTCTTTATCTGGATCCATTATGTTTTCGAAATGCGAGGTAACATCTAAATGGTGTTCACATTTAGAATTTGTTGTTCAACTAATGATTTTAGCGAGAATTGTCTAAAGCCGAGCAATTAATGTATTATAAGTATTTGTATAATGATTATTTATATCATTATTGTTATTAAATATTTGTGATGTAGTGTTGCGTGTTGGCGCTGATAAAAGGCCGTCTGCAAAAATATCTAGATGGCTTTGTAAGTTGACTTAAGGTTAGAGAATAGTTATAGAACGGTGGCATCTTAATCAAAAGGCTCGCGAAATAATACTATGGACAAGTACAGTAGTATTTTAACGCAATAAAATATTTTAAATCAAGTCATGTTTGTTTACTACGATACCTAACAGAGCTCTATGAAACTGGTCAGTAAAACAATGAATACAAAAGAGGAAAAAATTAAAAGTAACTTGTATGATATTTTAAGACTGAATGATATCGCTATGTCAGAAAAACTGTAACTACTATGATGTTAATCATCTGTACATGTTTAACAAAGTATTGCGTATTTCAAGTACTTGCTGATTATTTTAGTCGAGACGCCTAGTGATGTAATATATTTTATCTTATCGAATAAACTCATATACCTGCCATCGATGAAAATAATAACAAAACACCTTGATTAGAAAAGAAACAAAGTTACCACGAATTACATTGGACTGTTAAATTCGAGTAATTTGTTTTTATAGTGAAAGGTGGCAAATGAGATGGCAGCTATCTAAAACTTGGTATAGTTAAGTGACCACTGATTGTACACATTTACAACATGTTAATATGTTACAGATACTTAAACTGACACTGGAGGGGAGGCACAGAAAGGGGATTTTCACTCTTGTGACTTATCCTCTCACCTGCTAATTTCCTACCGCTTCCCATCTTTTCTTTATGGATAATAAAGGTGGTAAAGGATGGGAAAGGCAGAAGGTCTAAAAGTTAGCCTCTGGTCGGACATATATTTCCACTTCATACCTGTGTTGCTTTGTACATTTTTACGTCTATTACTTAGTTGATATCTGTTGAGATTATTTGTAGGCGAGATAAACATTGTTCAATTAAAAATGGATAAAGTAGCATGTAAATAGCGGTCTTTGATATTTTTATTTATTTATAGAGATATTAATTACTTTATCTGCATTATAAAAATAATGCTTTAAAAGAGCAGTAGTTAGCTCATACGATATATCTTAATTAAGTTGTTTGTATTGTATTATAGACTCAGGGGTAACTGCAACTCCCGCGAGAGATTCCAAAAATATAGATCACATACTTACTAACATTATAAATGCGAAAGTTTAGATGGATGTTTGTTGGAGTTTGTAGCTTAAACTGCTGAACGGATTTCGATGAAATTTGGCAAAGATGTAAGGGACAGTCTGGAAAAAGTCATAGACTATTATTTTTTTTTTATTTCCACCCGAACGGGGTCGAGGGCAAAAGCTAGTTACATTTAAATCTACCACGAATAAGACCATAATAATGGTCCCTTTCCCTTGTTTTAGCATAGCCGACTGGCTGACATAGATGTATCTCATTTATAGATAATTTTGCTGTGTTATACAAAAAGTCTCTACTTTTTACTTTAGAATGTAAATGTTATGTTACAAATAATTTACTTAGTTCTTTTTAGATCACAACAAGCGAAAATTATCGGAAATGGATCTTTAGTTAGATAAATAACAAAAACGTTACGTCTCAATGAATACTTTCCATCAATTATTTTTATCTAAATTCATTTAACTTATTAAAACTTTCGTGAGACATTATACTACACAAATTATAACACGGCTAAACTCACGTGATAATATTCGGTGCAGGCACCGACAGTTTCGAACCCGTTGGGGGTCTTCGAAGACCCCCAATGGGTTATAAAATTTATCTAAATTATATAACCCGTTAAATTATATAACGGGTTGTTATAATTTATCTAAATTCATGTTTATTTTTAGGGAAAAAAACTACAATAAATTCTTAATGAACACTTTAATTTCTACAATTAAAACAAGCTTAAATATAATCTTATCTAAAATTAGGTGGATTAATTTATCTATCTTACATTACACATTATCTAAAACATCGATCAAATGATGAAATGGAAAGTCTTTGTTAACCTGAATTCTTATTACATTTCCACTCATATCTCATTCAGGGATATACAAATTAATTTTAATTAATTTAAAAATTTATTTCACTGTTATCATGATAATTGATTGTCAATTTTGTCTTTCCTTGATTTCCTTAACCCCCTTCTGTGTTCGAAGAAGAGCCAACTGTAACAAAGAAGAAGTTACTTCTAATGCAAATAATAATTAGGTAATTCATACATTATCAATGAGTTAGAAGTATCAGGTCTTGTCCCACCATTGTAAATTGTCTGATAACAAAATGTAAAATATGTGACGAAAATATCGGATTTCGTTACCTTATCTGTCAGTAACGTCATTTTTAAGCTATCTAAGCCTCTATCAGCTAGTTGTGGGACAGACCCTCAGTCATTCTTTCATTCGACTAACCCCACTCATAGTTAATACCAGTACTGGCTTTAGTTAGTTCATACATGGTCAACGATCTAGTTACTTCAGGAGAACTATCGTTTACTGGAAATGGCATAAAGTCCCAATTTTCAAAGATAAATAAATGACAAATTAGAAGTGCTATTTAATTCTTTGCAATTTAAAAATCACGCTTATCATAAAAAATCTATTAATACTTTTAACACTTCTAGTAATAAAAATACTTACAGGAATACGAATACAGCTGGAAGTGTCAACACTGTACCCAGTAGGAACACCGCACCTGGTAACACGTCCATTGTAGCGGCATATGTCCTCGTGTACAAAGGAATGTAGAACAATGGCATCAGAGTTTCACTTAGGGATATCAAGGAGTTAATTTTACCTGGAAGTGACCATTAAATTTTAACACTATACTAGATTTATTATAACAACTAGCTGTTATCTGCGACTTCGTCCACGCAATATTAAGATAAAAAAGTAGCTTATAATATGCCCGTCTATATAGCTGACATCAACTACCCTATAGTGAATGTCTGCACATACGTAGCTTGCAAACAGACAGACAGACAGACAAAAAAATTTAAATGCGATTTTTGTTATCAGCAACGCAAATACATGACCTTCCCGAAATCTGGAATTTTTCTATCGATATTACAAACAGATACTCCAATTTTATTATATGTATGGATACATACTTACCAAATTCATCATCAGCAACCATCTTAGACAATAGAGACCTTAAAGCCAAAAATGATGTTCCATTTAGTATTTCAACTAATGGACCTGAAAGTGATTAAAAAAATCAATTAAACTATATCCATTGATTAAACATTTATTATGTCGTCTAAGATGTGCATTTAATTTTTTTTTATATATATATATCTTTTTTTTAAATCTCAAAGTAAATTTTGACTACGCTAACTATAACATTATTTGCATAAATAATTTTCATTACTTTCATCAGAATTATTAAATTATTTCGAAAGTATTCAATTCAGACGTAGGTTAAAAATATTGAAAAGCTTACCGAGTGCAAATATCATCTGATTTGGTGCAAAACAATAAACAAACGAAGCCATAATTTTGCTTACTGTAGAAATAATTCCTAGAAGTGAATCATGCCATCCTAAAAGCTTACTGAAGACGGTTAACGAGAAAATTGTACCTGGAATAAATCATAACGAAACATTCGAAAATACCCATAAAATCAACAATGATATTGTATTTTTTAAAAAGAGGTTGATAAATTTTACAAATACATGAGGTTCATTAGTACCGTTTTTTTAATTATTTTGTAAAAATAGACTTACCAAGTGAATGTGCCACAAAATTATATGTTTGGAAAATGCTAAATTTCACTTCATCCCAATTGAACCTGAACCTCGTTGATATGTATAGAATTGATATTTCACCTGAAAATAAAAAAAATTTTATAAAGCTGGTAATTTCAAAAATCAGAGACCAAGATATGCGTTAGGCTTAGATAACAATGAAAAAAAAAATAGTGAATAAAATATAACAGCGATTATGACTTTAATTTTGAATTTAACTTTGTTCTTATATCTTTATTATATTTGTGAAACATATGGTTAATTAATAACTATGGAATCTTACCATACATTGGGCCAAACAACATAGCAACAACAGCCAAGAAAGTTATAACTCGCGCTCTTCTGTGATTGGCGCCTTTTTTGAACACCGTCTTTACAGTTTCTTTTAAGTTGGACAGATCGAAAAACGTCTTACAGAAGTAACGAAATCCTTTGCCCTCCTGGTGAAAGAAAAATTATGATTCAACATTACAACGATTTATAATACACTAGCTTTCTCGCCCGCGACACCGTCCGCGTGGAATTAAAAAAAATAAAAGTGAGTAGCCTATGTGTTCTTCCAGACTATCCACTACATCTATACCAAATTTCATCGAAATCCGTTCAACCGTTTAGGCTACAAACTCTAAGAAACATCCATCCACCCATCCATCTATCCATCCATCCATCCGTCTATCCATCTAAACTTTCTCATTTATAATATTAGTAACAAGTGCGATTAAGTATTTCTAGGTAAACATTTCTTAGGAACTCTTGCATTTATTATTCGCCAAGTAAAACTAATGAAACAAACATTCTGTTAATATACGTATACTTCTGATTGTACCAGACAAAGTAATGTTACGAATAATGCAATTCATTTCAACAACAGGAAGCTCCACTAATAGACTCAAATAGACTATTTATTTGGGCTTAGATGTGTCGAGTTGCTGTTAACCCTTGAAAGCGTTATTGTTATAATGTTTTATTTCTTTATTCAAAGGGGTGTTAGCAATTATAATAATAACTTTCTTTACAATCAACAAAATCTCACAAATAGAACATGCGGCTAATAAGCTTGTGAACAATGTAGGTCTCCCTTTATCACTCTATGATAATTATTTAAATCCACATGAATTGTGATAATAAACCTTTATTGCCTAGAATTTAATTAGATTATAAAACTGGGATTATCGTTATCATCTAAAGGTTTCAATTGTTATTTTCTAGGTACATTTTAAAACTACTTTACCGTTAGGCAATAAAAGAAATTCCACATCCTAAGAACTTCGTAAGGTTTAATTTACTATTAAGCTTTACCTTACGAAGTTCATAGGAAGAGGTTTTTTATTATTTAAAAGCAAACTCTTATCAATATATGTCACAATTGGTAATTATTATTAGAGAATAAAGGTAGCTAATTAAATAAATTTTAAATTAAAAATAACTTCAGTTATATACGTACCATTGTTTGATCTTTCTTAACCGCTGTATCTTTTAAGAAGATCAAATTGTAAATAACATTAGTGGTATGTAATGCACACGCAAGTCCATAGCAACCGTAATATCCGTAGGTTTTAAGGAAAATTCCACTAATGCCCATACCTATAGGGAATCCCGCTGTCATACTAAAATTTACTAAACCCATACGAAATGTTCTATTCTCAGCAGATGTGATAGCACTGATGTATGAAAACACAACAAGAAACAGAACACACCAACTTCCAGCAATACCTTCTAAAATTCCATCAAACAACACAAAATATTCGAGACGTATTTCGTGGAAGAAATAAGTGTTTATCAAAGCGTTGATGCAGACTAGAATCTGTCCAAACAAAGGGTATATTATAAACACTTTTCTACGTCCAGTACGATCTGACCACGATCCAACAAATAACGCAATAACACAAGGTATTGTCGCTGATAGGTAAGTTTTCCATGCCATAGCTGAAGCTATCAGTTTCTGAGTCTCCCGTTCGTATTCATTCTGTGACTCCATGTTTTGCGCACGAAGAGAATCACATATTTCACTCGTATAATTTAAATTGACTCGACAAGCTTTTTCAAGACTTAAATTCTGTGTTGTTATTAAAACTAAAATAGTCGCAAGCACAAAGAGAAAAGCTGTAGGTTCCACAGACACGTTGTTTACAACATTCAATATCGTATCCTTCCTTGATTTGGTTTCTTTTTGTTCTTCATCTTTTGTTTTATTTTTTAAAGGATCTGTTTCACTAAACTCCGCTTCAGTATTTTCATTGTTAGTAGTTTCTTGAGGTTGAGACATTTTTTTTGAATTTATTAACAAAAACAACAATATCCCGACAAAGATTCCTCAAGACTGTCACTCCACACATAAACTCCTATACATTGATTGTAATTTTGTTTATCAATATTTGATAAACATGCTGGTAGCATAATAGCCGGGCAATTAGTCATTATTGTTAGCATCAAGATGTATATATGTATCTTTACCTTATCTTGCCTTTGACTTATCTGGTAATCCTCATGGCTTTTGTAATAAAATTTGAGTCAATGTCATGTCCGGCCTTATCCACATTGGACATAAATCAATGTGAATCGATATCGGATGTTGAAACATAATTTTATTAATTTTACTGAAATTACTTGTAATCAAAGATACTAGTTATCCCTTACCTTCTTTGATTTACCTTACCTACCTACCTTAATTGATCTAACGCTAGATATGAGCAATACGCGAAGAAACGGAGTTGCATTTTTGACCTAGAAGTAAGGCGTATGTGATTAAATGGAAACCAATACCATCTTGTTTTATAATTTCTGTATTCATACTTTTGCACAAAATATACAATTTATTACAAGAGCTGACATTTACGTTATTACTTCCTTCGTACACATCTTGCACTTCAATTCGCGCCTAAAATTAATTTTCCTTTTTTTTATTATCTTTTAATTGGTCTTGTCTTGGTGCAATGTCGGTGGCCAGTGTTATCAATTACAATACAAATGGTACGCCTAACCTTAGCGCCATCTGTTGTTCAATATAGACTGACCAGTACGCTCGATTCTTGAAAGGCCCAAAGTACCTGTTGGTAAATACCGCTGAACACAGAATTTGCATACAATTCTGCATTAAATTCTACATCCAACATGTCTTTTGATTAAGGATGAGTAAAATTAAAAACGAAAAAAAACAAAGTAGAATGTATATTTGTTAACGCCAATGGAACATTCAAAGTACATATTATTCTTAAAGTAAATGTATAATAACTTTTGTTTAATAATTAAATTATCGTTTTTTTTCCTTATCCTATTCCCGTAGGGATAGCGCAACAAATTTTCTACCTCCAGTTAATTACTATTTAAAAATTAAATAGTACTTAGCATATATTCAAGTTTGTATGTCTGTTTTATAACATTTTTCTGAAACCTAGAGTGTAAAAGCTTTTCTAATGTGTGACCGTCTTCGCGTTGTCCTTGGTCATCCGATCCTTGCAAATAAAGTAGTGAAAAAGCTTATAAAAACTCGTACAATAATTTCAAGGGTTCTTATTATTTCCGTTATAACAATACCTAGTTCTTAATTTAGATGTATTAATGTTTTATCTATACTATTATAATAAAGCGTAAACACACACTTCTTTGTTGCCTAAGATGTCAATAATTACAGCATGTTTTTGAATTTTTCTTCTTTTTATGAAAAGTCCTACACTTGCGTCACGCTTTAGGCTATATATTTTAACGCCATTAAACTTAGGGGTAAATATTTTGAATGAAAAACCCCAATGTGGAAAAGAGACCATAAATTGCTGCCAACATCAAGGAAGCAAGGTTGTCATCATGTCATGTCATTTTGACATTTGCAATTGATAATTTGACAAATGTAAACAATAAAATAAAATTTTCATAATTTCATGCGGATGAAGTCGCACGGGAACAGTTAGTTTGCAATAATTTTATTTGTACAGTGCTCAATACAGTAACCCCATTTAGTAATATTCACCTTACTAGTATTAATATCTATAACCTTAACTATTTGAGAATACAATAAACTTTTGTTTTATAATAATAATTTCGAGTTAAAGTCCATCTGCAATATGTATGAACAATTTCTTGAAGCGATCTTACAATATACACTAAACTCATGGATTATGTTAAATTAGTTTCAATAAGATTTATAACACGGCTAAAACTCATGTGGGAACTTTCGATGTATCCACCGACCAGTTTCAAACAATAACATCACCAACTCTTCAGTTTCGAGTTCGCCTCCGCCGACGCACAGCGTCCCCCCGCACCCCCCGCTCTGTCGAATCGAGCTTTGCCGGCTATTGCACGCAGTGACTTGCGACGCGATAGCGAATAAAGCCGGCAAAAACTCACCCTGAAGAAGGACCCCCTACGGGTTTGAAACTAGACGGTGCCTACACCGAAAATTCCCACGTGAGTTTTAGCCGTGTCATAAATCGTGTAGTATAATGTCTCACGAAAGTTTTAATAATTTCGTTCCAATAATTTACTTTCTATTAAACTTCATGTAAAATGTTTTTTTGACCGACTTCCCAAAAGAAGGAGGTACTCAATTCGTCTGTACGTTTTTTTTAAGTGTTATTTATTTAAAGGCTATCTGTCTTATGTGTACATTTTTAAAACGTTTCATATATTACGATTAAAAATAATTAACAAATATGGCTTTATAATTTCGATTTTTCAAATTCAGTCTCTATCCGTCCAATCGTCTCTGGTAAATTATTGCTTATTTGTGGTTTTGAATTCTGTGCATCATTTTTCTCTTGATTTTCTAACGCGACTTTTCTCGCATTTCTCAATTCTCTTCTGTGTTGTGTGTAGAAATATCTGAAAAAAATATATATAATTTTTAATTTCTGCAAAGATCACTCGTAATAGTGCACTAACCACCGTCGTGGTAGTTTTAGTTTTCTTTTTAATAACACCAGACTTTAAAGTAACGACAAATAACGTATTCAAAAGGTCATCGCCATTGAATTAAATTTGTGAAGCGTCTCTATTTGGCATAAAGCACACCGAAGAATCTCGCTCAAAATTTGTCGATGAAGTTACAAATATTTTATTGCAAATTTTCAGATTATGTCCCCTGACAAATATTATCCATCGACATATAAATTGAAATAATGCTTCTACAAATAATAATTTATTACTATTCACTTTATTACGTCATCCTGAGACAGGATTTTGTTATAAACAAAATGATCCGTTGAACTATTTAAAAGCAAAAGCAAACTGTAGTTTCATAGAGTTACGTGTTAGACTTACGTAAGAATGAAGGCGGCGGGAACAATGAAGGCCGCACTAATGAGGAACACTGCCCCCGGCAGCGCGTGCAGCGTCCGCATGTACACCCACGAGTAGAACGGATGGAACACGAGCGAGCCGAGCGTCTCAGTTAGTGAAAACAATGAATTCACTTTAGCTGGAACAAAGGAATTTGTCATATCACACGTTTTACCAAGAAATCACCTATCTAGAGATGATTAGGCCTTACCACAACAGCCCAGGGTTGGGAGATTTACACTTCTTTGACTTTTATCAATGGTAGACGCGGCAATATTACTGCGCAAATGACACTCACAACGGTTATAATATCATGACCATAAAGTATTAGGCATATAGTAAGGAAGACATGATGTGATTTCCGCGTTACCTTTGGTGAATTTTGTTAAAGTGTCTGTTGAAAATTCTACTCTCCAATTATTTATATGTTCTTACCAGTTTCTTGTTTATCAACCAACTTGGATATGATTGACCGCAGCGATGTGAATGTTGTAGCATTCAGTATTTCAGCAACTGGAACTGAAATTATAAATCGTGAACTATGATACGGTTTCTATCGATAATGTCATAATCAACGTTAGTATATTTTCCGTACTTAACAATACCACTTGAATATGCAGGTAGAACACGGATATGATTTATAACATTATTATGAAGAGCCTATTGAGTATCAAGTAATTATAATTGTCGAATAGTTCATTTACATGTAGATAATTTTCTCGCTTACATTATTTTAATAGTGGTAAAGGTCGGAATAACATATTTTGCAAGATAGGGCTGGCTCGGTCAGTGAAAAACAACGAAAGAAGTGGAAGCAATTCCGCGCTTCGCTTAATGAGTGTGTGTGTCGAAAGCCAAATTTTAGTCCACTTTCCCGTCCAATTACTTTATAAGGAAAAGACGGATAGAGGAAATTGATAAGGCAGAGGATGAGGCGTCTAGAAAGGAAATGGACGAAACAATGCGTATTCATTTGTATGCTAATCTTTTGTAATACAATTTTTGAATAATACTTACTTAAATACATTTCGATGTCTGACTGTACGAACGCAGTCCAAATGGAGCCGAAGAACTTACTGCTAATTGAGAGCAAGCAGAGGAAAGAGTCGTCGATTTGCAGTCGTTTGCTTAATATTGTGATTGAGAACATAGCACCTGGTAATAGGAATACACTTCTAATAAGTAATAGTGATGAATCAAAGAGAATAATAGAAAAGAAGAAGCAGTGGTAGGGAATGTTCCAGAAAAACTTGAATCCAAAACATTTTTTAACAGAAAATAAAGTTAAATAGAACTCATAAATATCCAATTAATTTAATATTTAACAGAAATTAACGTACCAAAGGAATGTAACAGGATGGAGTAACTTGCATAAAGACCATATTTGACCATATCCCAGTTAAGGCGATTTCGCACAAATAGATAAAATATTGTGTGCTCCGCTGAAAAAATAAAAATTAACACGAATTATAAAGAAATCACAATTGACACAATCTTGCCAGTGTTATAAATGCGAAAATTTTAATTGACGGATGTTTGTTAGAGATTGTAGCCTAACCTGGCCTCCTAATTGAATGGATCACAATTAAATTTGTCATAGATGTAGACCATGGCCTGTAAGATCACCTGGCCTACTCACTTTTTTTTCAATTCCATGCGGACGGAGTTGCAGGCAAAAGCTAGTGTAATGTAAAAATGACAAAAAGTTTATGAAGTATGAAGCAAAACAAGTGTCTTAAACAGATAACAATTTTTCTTAGAAAATACTTCATTTAATTTCGATTTAAAACTTTTAACATTTAACAGCAGTGATAAAATTACATTAAAATTGTAAAATTAAAACTCACACATCGATGGTCCATACAAAATGAAGACACTGAGCAATGTCAGAATAACTTTCACACGTCTGTTGGAAGGACGGCGTCGAGTAGCGACATCTACCGTCTCGACTACGTGCGACACATTGAAGAAGGAAACCTTAGGTGTCTCTGCACGTTCTATCTGCAAGCACCATCAATTAAATTGTATAATTTACATTTCAAGAGTATTTCCCTCTTATTTAACGAAGACTATGGTTTTAGTTATAATTTCTTCTGAGTAAATATTAATTTTTATCTCTCATTGGCTCATTTTGTGCTTTATTTTTTTGCGAATTCTTTGTCACATTAACCCTATTATTTCTTTATCCGGTATCAGTTTTATCTCATAAATCAAGTCTTTTCTGTGGTAGCCAGCAACATCTGTTGCACGAATTTTAACAGTGGTATTATCCTCGCTTTAACATCTTAGCACGAATGCGCCGGCACGCCCGGTGTAATACCACGACCACACAGAAGACAGGCGTGAAATGGAAGCAATTCCGTGTTTCTTCTGATGAGTGTGGTACCGGAGGCCTAATTTAAGTCCCTTTCTCTTTACCACCCTTTCCTTATAAGGAGAGGTTGGGAGTGGATTTCACGGTGGAGGAGATGCAAAGGAAGGGGAAATATTCTCTTTATGTGCGTCTCCTCCGTCGTATAAGGGTAGGCAACGCATCTGCAATTACGGATGTCTATGGGCAGCGGTCGCTTCGCCATTTTGGCGGTTTCAGGTGGCCGCTTGCTCTTTTGCCACCTTATGTTATAAAAAAAAAAGAATATGCCGGCTAACCCTGTGCAATACCATAACTATACGGAAGACAGGCCTCAAGTTGACAATACCACGTTTCGTTTTAAAACGGTGCATGTTGGAAGCCTAATATTAATCCCTGTTCTTTATCCACTTTTTCCTTTTGGGGGCTCACTTCCCTAGTTCGGCATATCGTGGTGGTCGGTTGTTGATGTTACTTTATGATTTAAAAAAATACTTCTGGACTTTGATAGTCCCTTGTTATTATTTTATGTACATATCCCATAAGCTTATAAGAATGTTATATTATACATATTTGATTAGATTAATAAACTATCTAACTCGTGTAAGACAAGATATGTACGTAAAGAAATGCCATTGTGTTTGAGTCATAATATACTCCCGATCTAATTGAATTATATTATTTGCTTTTAAATCCTGAGAATTTTAGTTTCAATCATAACATAAATTCAATAGTTACATAAAAACTTCCCACAAATCGGAAATATAATGGTTGAAGAGATAAATGGAGGTGACATGCAGAAATAAATTTATTATCGTAGGCAGAAGCGTGACCACTTGTTAAGTTTAATAATGGTTTCAAAGTATGAAATAATAGAGATTATTGCTATAATGCTTACTGGGCAATTCGTTTATGGTGTCATGTAATAATAATGACTATTTTTGACGTAGAGTTTTTTTTTAATTTATTCTATCCTAGTATTAGATTTCTGCAGCGCTCCATTAGGCATAAAGTATAACAGTAATACTTTTATCGAAAAATTTTAGACATAAAAAAACATCTGGTGTTAAAAATTTTCAATTATCTAGGAATAAAACTTTGCTCTATCTGTCGAGGTATTCAGGTAAGTTTCTGCTTCTAAAATTGTGCTGTACAGAAACGATTTATGAATTGGTATATAATTTATGGATGCTATCGACCATCAGTCGCGATTACTATTCACAGCCATGAAAAAATCTTATCTCGTTTTGAAATACACTGTCGTACTATCATTTACAAATTGTATGTTAATCCGAGATAAATATTTTTGATTAATATGTAAAGGTATTACTTTTTCCGTTTTTAGAATGATTTTAGTAAAAATGTTTGCATAAAAACATGTTTACATCTTAGTTTTGTGTTATTAATAGTAATAAATACAAACAACTTTTTCATTTTTGAACCTGTCTGTCAGGCTAGGTTATGTTATTAAGATTCGATATATGTTTTTGTGTTTATTGTTTTTAAAATTGTGGATAATACTGTTTTAATATTTAGGTTCGTGATATAGGAACTGAATTTATCATATTCACATATATCTGTCATTCTGTCAGTCTGTCCAATTATAATAGCTTGTTAAATAAAAACATAACATACCACTGGGCGACCGTTGTCTCGAAGCCAGTCGTTCGGTTCTTTCAAGAAGAAACATCCATAAGTAAGAACGACGCAAAAAAGTACAGCAGTTACTGAAAATATTCCATAATATCCAAGTCTTTGTAGGAGAATTCCACTCAATCCAATACCCACGGGTAATCCGGCTGTGAGGCAGAAGTTTACCATACCAACTCTAAATGTCCTTGATTCTTCAGAAGTGATGTCACTAATGTAACTGAAAACTCCCAGAAACATCGTCACCCAACCTCCAGTTATTGATGGAAATATAGTCTCTAAAAATACTGTCACTTGCACTGGTATTTCATAGAAGAAATATACGTTAATCAGGTTGTTAATTGATGTAACGAATTCTCCGAAAATCGGCAAGAGGATGCAAATTTTTCTTTTCCCAGTCCTATCGCTCCAAGCTCCTAAGAACATTATTATGATGCACGGCAATGAAGTATGTATAACACTTTTCCAAATATCTATTGATGATATTAACTTTTGCACTTCTTTCTCCCAAACTGTATAGTTGTTAGACGTTCTTTTTACAAGTGCGGTGCAAATTTCATCTCCAAAGTCAAGGTTCACTCTGCACGCTTTGTCCAAATTGAAATTCGACATAGCAAATCTTGATATAACACTTGGTATAATCAAACCTGCTAATAATGGTTCAACGGTTATATTATTTTTTATATGCCTTAACCTTTCTCTAAAGGTCTTCTTCTTGGTTTTCTTTTCGATATCATCGTTCAACGGTTTCTCTTCCTTCTTTTCTTTTATATCTTCTCTTTGTTTCTTATCTGCCATTTTTATTTATGTTACTTCAATTTGAAGTTGTTCCCATTTCTTTGTGTCACAAATATTAATACAAACTTTAACACAATACACGTCTGTTTAGACACAGTAATGCCCTGTATTATTTGTTTGCACGATATGTTTGTATGATATCAATTAAATGTAGATATAGATAAAACATAGAATGTTGATAATTAGCTTTTGTTTTATATTAGCTAGATCAACGTACAATACACTTTCTTGTATTATTTGATCTTGTAAGTTAATATCTGCAACGGAGGTAATAAGTGTTAGTTACATAGAATTTATCTATCTAATGCTTGACTGTGAACTAATTTCATCTCACAATAACACGAGTGAAATATAGATTATATTGAGTGTGCTCCAAAAGATGAAAAAATTGACACTTCAGTGGTGAAGTTATTTACCACAGTCGTTTACATAGATGTTAATAATACACGTATTTATTGGTAAAATTCCGATAAAACTAAATATAAAAACCAGATGGTAAGTAAACTTACAATGAGTAAATCGGTTAGCCACAGGTTTTTACGAGCTAACTATTTTAGTAAACAGTAATTTACTTTTTGTGTACTTTGCTATTTATCGTGTCATCTCAAAAATTGACTATTTTTTTGTGCAAATAGTGGTTTTAATAAACATTTTCTACGGAGTTTATAACTAATTAAAGTTTTCAATTTAATATAACTGAATCCAATTTTATGAATCAAGAAAAATACTGTATTTTATTATCTATATAACAAAAACACTAAAAAAGTATTATTTGTCAATTAATTGATAACAATGAACATTAATGTAAAAGCATCTTAAAAATAATCTACAATGTAATTAAGTTAAGTCACTTTAAATTGACGGATGAAACTCAAAATCCCAGTATCTAAATATTAAAACTACTTAGAACAGACGAATTTTAAAATAAGAAAAAAAAATACTTGCTATAAAACCGGTTATTCAAGTACTGGCAATTAATAAGCGATACAAATTGTATGATTGAATCTTAATTTTAAATTAAAATTAAGAAGCGAATTTAAAAGAGATATAGTTAAAAGACGTATTCATACCAAAATTGAAGTTACAATACACATATTCACTAATAAATGCAATAAAAATCTCACTCCACGTCAACCGATGCATGCGCTCTAAAGCATCGGAAGGCTGAAGGTAAACTGATCTTTGATAAACAAGCAAATGACCATTGTGTAACGAGCAGCAAGAAAAACATTCGACATTTGCTAATTGATATATTTAGAAAGAGTATTGTCAATTACGCATCTTACTCACGATCGTTAACGCCATTTAAATTCAAAACAATTAACTCAAAATGTTTTCGAATAATATTTGTACTTAACCACAATGGTAACGCGATAACATTTGTTAAGTACAGACTTAACTGTTCACGATCTGACCAAGTAAATTATTTGATGATTAAAAACTGAGGAGAAGGATGGTAAAAGAGCGTATCTTCTATTTGTTTGTCTTCTCCTCTGTCTGACAGACGTATTCATTCTTTAGCATGTAAGTAGGCATCAAAATCATTAAATATGGTTTAAATCGCACTGCTCATTTGTCAGCTAAAATCTTTCCTGTTGGACTTTGTATAAAATATTCTTTTACCTTGGTAACATTTAGTTGAACTTGTTACGTACAAAGGACGTTCCGGTTGAGGGCAATTGCTTAAGTAGGTAATTGGAGACACAACTGCGGTTGTACCGAGTCCAGAGAATTCAAGTGATATCAAATGGTCAATGCTACGTGCATTTTAATAGCAAGGACGATAACGTAGTTTATAACATAATAGTTGTAAGGATACATTAATATAATTTGTAGTGGTTGAGCCATATCCAGTAAAGCCAGAGGCTAACCGAAAATAAGGTACAAATGTAGTCACAAGTCACATGTCAGAGATAAATATGTAGAGGACAGAAAGAAGTAAAAGAGAAGAACTAAGTAAACTAAGCCAAATGTACTTATACTACAAATGCGAAAAATGACTAGAATTATGTTTGGATGTTTGTTAGAAGATTTATTCGGAGCGACTTCACGGATCTTGACGAAATTTGACACAGATGTAGAACATATTTTGGAAAAACACATAGGCTACCTTTACTAATTCTGCGCAGACAATATCGCGGGAAAAATTTAGTGTGAGACACGAGAAAGTAATGTAACACTTGTATCTCAATTTAAACAAGGGACAATAACATTCTAGAACAAGTGTCCTAATCGCAGACGTGTGTAGACGTAGAATTAAATGCATTGGTAGATGTGTATAACTGGTTTGTGCTATTAGGCCACGGGCATTGATTCTAAATTATCAAATAAACAATGTACTTAGTTATTATTTCACACGATATGCTAAAATATGATTACTTATGTACTTGTATTGCTAAAATATTAGTAGGAAGTACAGTATCAGCAAATTGAAGATTATAAGATTATGTTTATCGAAGGTTATTGTGTCATGAATTAGTAAAAACGTCTAGCATTTTGTTTTTAACATAATAAAGGTATAAATATTGACAGAGGCCTGGTTGGGTGGTGATAATATCTAGATCAGTATTGGTATTAAGCTACGGATTGAAATCTATACTTCTATACTATTATAATAAAGCATAAACACACACTTCTTTGTTGCCTAAGATATCAGCAATAACAGGATATTTTTGAATAATTCTTTATTTTAATAAAAAGCCTTACACTTGCGTCACGCTTTAGGCTATATATTTTACGCCACTGAACTTAGGGGGTAAATATTTTGAATAAAAACCCTAATGTGGGAAAGAGACCATAAGTTGTCATCGTGTCATGTCGTTTTGACATTTGCAATTGATAATTTGACAAATGTAGATAATAAAATAATGTTATCATAATTTAAAGTCGCACGGGAACACCTAGTTTGATATAAAAGAACTCTTCTGTTACATCCTGGTATGAAATAAAAATGTTCTCAATTTGCAAAAATGTGGCAACTTTTTTTTTACTTTTTCTGTGATTTTTATCAACTTTATACTCATCAATTTGGAATAATTTACACTAAAACCTGCGACAATCCAAACCTTTTTCATTGGTAACGTATTAAAGTTTTGTTTTTTATTTTGCTGGTCAATGGACTGTTACCAAAAGACACACAAAATGCATGGAAACAAAACTTGTTTCTGTAAGCAGTCGGACTATATTAATAATCAAATTAATGTTATGAACAAATCAGAGAAATGTCAATATTATTGGCACGTTTTATTCCTATCTTTATTGCAGTAATTGTAATGTTGAATGAGATTTTCTATTGCTTTATTTAGGTTATTTTCCTGTAGACAAGGTTATTTAGCTTGTATTACACTATAATTTAACTATTCAAGTTTCAAATCAAAGAAAAAAGATGATAATATTTTTACTCATACATTTATGTGTGTTTCAACTATCCAAGCACTTATTCTGCCACCATCTCTTTCGTCGTCTTCGACAAAAAGGAGACAAAATATATCTGTGATAACGTAAAAGTCATTAATCGTCCAAATCTTCTAACTAATATCGTTTTCAATTTGTTAATTAGATTATTATCTATACTATTATTGTAAATAGGATATATTTGATTGTTTGTTTGCATTGAATAGACTCCGAAACTACTGGTTGGTAAGGTAAACTATTCCTGGATGTAATAGAGCATACTTATTTCAAGTTATTGTTTTACTTCTAATCAAAGATCAATTTTTAAAATGACATACAAAAATCTGTCTGTTCCCAAGGCTTTTGTTTTGAGTAACCTCCAAAACTGCTGGAATTTTGATGAGATTTCGATTGGAAGATAGCTGATACACGCGGGGATATTATTGTCTACTATATAATGGTTTACAATTATGTGTTGATGAAGTCGAGTTATGTAAATAAATTGAAACAAGGATCAATGTATACTAACGTTAACGGACAGCAATCTAACACAAAAGTATCAGTGTGGTCAACTTTGTCTTGAGTGTTCAACAATTTCGAATGATAATATTAGTGCACTTACATACATAGGTGCTGTTATCGTTCATTGCGATTTAATTAAAGTGAGGTAGAAACAAGAAAACAGAATTTTGAATAATTGACTAGCAGTTCCCGTGCGACTTCATCCGCATCAAATTATGAAAAATTTATTTTTATCGTTTATCTGTCAAATTATCAATTGCAAATGTCAATATGACGATGACAAACCATGGCAACCTTGCTTCCTTGATGTTGGCAGCAACTTTGGTCTCTTTGAATGTAATCATCATAATTTACCCCCTAAGTTTAATGGCGGGAAAATATACAGCCTAAAGCGTGGCGTAAGTTTTTTTTATTGAAAATAGAATTATTCAAAAATATGCTGTAAGAGCGTCGGTGGCTCAGTGGTTTGAACACTTGACTTGTAATCTACTAGTCTTGGGTTCGAATCCCGCCATGTACCAATGTGACTTTCGATTTTTCGAATTTTCATATGTACATAATTTACCCGACGTTCTTACGGTGAAGGAAAACATCGTGATGCAACCTGCACATATCGGCGAAGAAATTAAAAAATATATGTGAAGTCAACCAACCCGCACTTGGCCAGCGTGGTTGACTATGGCCTAATCACCCCGTATTAGGGTAGGCTCCGAGCCCCTCGGTGGGGACGTATAGTGAGCAGGTGATGCTGTAATTGCTGACAAATTAGGTAACAAAGAAGTGTGTGTTTACGCTTTATTATAATGGTATGGATTATCTGACGATTTTAGGTTCTTGAAAAGTACACACTATTTCACCAAGTGTCTTTTAAATTCAGGGGTTCCTTAAGTATCTCTTAAGGTCATAATGATTTAGATTTAGGATTTGCTTAGACACTTAGCCAAAGAAACATTTATCTAAAATCACTTTAGGTGCTGGTTGATGGAAACTGGAGTAAGTAATGTTAAGTAGGCACTTTATTACTCTGGAATTTATTTCAATGTCGACGTATGAAGTATCATAGTTTATTTAACAAGTGCTGGCTAAAACAAAAGACGATCAATGCTGTCTGAATTTTTTAAACACCACCCAGTTACTTACAATGTTGTTATATCAATTTACTGTGGGCGGTCACAGCAGAAAGAAAACAGACATTATTAAAAAAAACAAAACCTCACTAAAACAAATGAAGAGCACAAATGAAAGATATTGTTTTTAAAACTTCCCTTTTTATTAGCGTGAATTGCAAACGAATCAAACATATATTGTATATATTGTCACCACTATTATAGTGGGCGCACACCCGCAACTGAACTATCGCACAATTGTTTAGTCTCGATTTGATTCCTATGGACTTATATAGAGGTACACACACTACTCGATTTTTAGTTGTGCAACTAAACAGTTGAATTAGCTCCGAAACAATTGCCAATCGCACAACAGATTTGCGATAGTTTAGTTACGGTTGCCCGCACTTATAATCTTTAACAAATAAAATATAGCAACATGTTGCTGTTTGTTTTTAGTGTAAACGCAACATTATCAACATTTCATTCTATCAAGGTTATGTCATTTAATACAGCCGGTGTATATTTAGTAGCCTTCCGGTTATTAGGTGGAGCGGTCATCTGTATAATTCTAGTGTTACGTTGAGGCTATTGGTTGTTAGCGCTTCAATTTACGTTCATCGTTACATAAACATTCGTAGGTAGTTGCATACTATACTTGATTTTATGGAATATAAAACAAATCATCAAAATCGATCAAAACATTATAACCTTTTTCCTAATTAAATATCTTCTTGAGTTTACGTTACGGAGAGTTGGGTTATTCTACCGTAGTCATCATCATCATCACCAGCCCACGATACGTCCCCATTAAGTGTCACGGAGTTTACCCTAAGTTAGGGGTGATTAGGCCATAGTGAATCACGCTGGTCCACAATCATTACTGAATTCACTCCCTTCTTACTCATATCCTATGAGGTATGTCGATCAGACTATTTCTCATTTATAAAGAAACTAGCTTATGCCCGTGTCTACTTAAAAGTGTAATAAAAAAAAACTAAAATGTAGCCTACATGTTCTTCACGATTATCTCTATACCTTTGCCAAATTTCGTCGGGATCCCTTCACCAGTTTAGGCTGTAAACTCTAACAAATAACCATCTATCTAAACTTTCACATCATACTAATATTATAAATGCGAGAGATTACATGGATTTTTTTTAAAACATAAGGTGGCAAACGAGCAAGCGGCCACCTGAATCCGCCGAAATGGCAAAGAATCGCTGCCCATAGACATCCGCAATTGCAGATGCGTTGCCTACCCTTATCTGACGGCGGAGGAGACGCACATAAAGAGGATATTTCCCCTTCCTATGCATCTCCTCCACTGTCAAATTCACTTCCTCTACCCATCCTCTTCTTATAAGAAAAGGTTGGTAAAGAGAAGGGGACTAAAATTAGGCTGGATATTACACTTTTTTAATTCCATGCGGATCAAGTCCCGGGAAAAGCAAGTTTATAACATTAGTAAGTAGGCTTTTATCAAGTTTAAAGTATTTGATTCGTATTGCAACTAATGTTCTTAACATTACTAACAACGCAAATAGAAATTATGTACGCGAGGATTTGTTCAATAACTTGAAACAGCTGTTGGTTCAATAACTTGTTACAACAGTTCGTAGTTTCAATTGGCTCGTAACTTTATCAGTACGAGGTGGGGGCGTCCTTTGCGGCTTTACAACTGTTGTAGTCGGAAGTTGTTGTCTTATTAATGTCACTTGCTTCACCAACTATAGGAATTTATGTATAAATAAAGGTAATGTTAAAAGAAACAAGTTTAAGCGTCAATAGCCTAATGGTTTGGGGTACGGACTACCGATCTTGCGGTCGAGGGTTCGAATCCCGCCATTCGAGTTGTCGTCAACCACATCGTAGCACAAGTCTAGAGCTTAGTTGGAATAGTTGAAGGAAATATTAGTTAATTAACAAAAATCCACTAATATTAAAAAATAGTCCGTCTTATCTGTCAACTTAAAAATTCAAAGGACATCTACATACCATTTGCTTTGGGTATCTTAAATTGTATTTACGGCCAAATACCGAAACGACATTGAATATGGAACAGGGTATTAAATGTTAGGGTAAAGCAAAGTAGCAAGTAAGCACAGTGTTTAAGATTAGTTTCAGTATTTGGTCAGAAGACATTTCATCAGGGTTTTTATTTATTGTAAATTGGAAAAGAAAAGTATGATACGTGTAAATAAAGGAAACGAACATTTTCTATTAAAATACTTTATTGAAAATAACATAACATAGTACAAAATACTTAAAATAAAACTACAATGGAATGAAAGTTTTATTAAGGATACATCTTTATTGGCCTTGTTTGTTTATGAAAACCAATATCAACTTATAATCAAGCCCATGTTCCAGAGATGTCAGTCCTTCTCATGCAGAAGAAAACATGCCTAAAATTAAGTATGGTAACGTCTGCCTATTTGGAGTTCATCTTTTCATTTGTAGCCTGCATAATGTCACAAGAAGCTGATTGCATTCTTTTAAGTCTTCTATCTCTACGATGCTCAGTAAACAACCAACTGAAAGAAATACTAAGAATGAAATCTTCAATTATGAAATAACTACTGTCATTAACAATATATACAATGGTACTCAAGAAGCTCTGGCTAGACTGTAGGATTAAGGGCCCCATTCAAAAGGCGGTTATTTGAGAAACTGCACGAATAGTGAGGAGGTTCCTGTCTCTGCAGCCCTGACCACTGGTTGCTTGAGTCATCGGATTCCGCAGCCGGTGGTGCTCTATTTTTTATATTACATATTTTATTTTATTTTTATATCAAATCTTGTAAAATGTATTATATAAAGAATAAGAAATAAAGATATATGGAGATACGATGGTGTTAACTTTTAAACCATGAAACTGAAAACTAAACTATCGCACAACTCTTTAATCTCGCTTTGATTCCTATGAGCTTAAGGAGGTGCGCACACTACTCGATTTTTAGTTGTGCAACTAAACAGTTGAATTGGCTGCGAAACAATCGACAATCGATTTATGACAATACTCACATCAACAATGAGATCGGCGGTAGAGTCATGACAGCGCTGAATATGTAGACAGTCCCTGCGAATATCGGTAACGTTTTGGCATAAAGAGTGGAATACGTCGGGTCGAAGACTAGAGCTGCGAGCGTTTCCACCAAACTGAATAAGGAGTTCATTTTACCTGAAAAAATATACATTTAAATAACCCAATTTTTACTAATTAACTCTTCTATTCTTCATAAAACTCATCGTCCTACGGAAGGTCGGTACAGTATGTGCTGTTTCGTACATCTCCAGCAACCGTCATATCTGAATTCAATCCCTTATGCATATCCTCTTTCACTCATTCCAACAATACATTCTGTGGTCTTCCTCTACCTTTGTAGCCATACATAGTCAATCTTAATAATTTACTGTTTATGTCCTCATGACGTTTGGTTGTTTGTTTTATTTGTCTAGTAGAAAAAGGTGTTTTTTTGTTTTAATACGAATAAATACCTTCAATTCAATAAAAAAAAATGTTTTAGTTAAACCTCTTTCTTTTTTTATTCAGTTGTTACTATGTAACAAAACGAAAAAAATAAATACAGGATCCGTAATGTTACAGTCAAAAGTCACTCACCAACCTCCTCGTTCAACACCAGTTTGGATATCATCGATCTTAGTGATGTGAATGTTAACGCGTTTAATATCTCCACTATGGGTACTGGAATACACAAGAAATATTAAATTAAATTCCACGAATAAACCAAAATACTCAACATTTTCGTTATCCTTTTCTACTCTTCCAACTTCTGGTTAATTTTGTACACCCATACACATGCTATGATCAATAGGTCAGGTCACATCAGGTAAGTCGCTGATTCGTTGATAATGAAAAAACAAGCGAATTTGAACCTTCTTCTTTTGCAATAAATTATATTCTGTTTGCCCTCAATTTTACAGATGTCGTAATCTTGAAGAGTAGCTACGATTTTACTGACATAGGTAGTCTTTTAAAAATAACTATCGTTAAGAGGTCGTTAATTATTAATTATTGGATACTTCGTTAACAAGATAAAGAGTTCTGTTATGTGTGCGTAAATGCGGACCTCTATGGACAGCTATCGTTTCGCTGTTTTGGCGAAATCCAGTAGCAGCTTGCGTTATTACCTATTATAAAAAAAAGTTCGCTATTGAAATTTATAAAGGTAACTTGGGGAGGTTACTGCAGCTTGCTTCAACTAGTTTTATTACCCGGATTTAGCAATTCCATAAATTTGCATACGTGATACGAATAACACATTAAAATTGGCAACATTTTTTCCTTACATTAAGTTGTTTGTCCGGAACAAGATAGATTAATAAGAGAAAAGTATGAGCCATTTATAGTTATGGTTTTATTTTGATGGCGGACCGTAATTTAGTAAATCCAGTCTGGTTTTACGAGCGAGCTGATTTTACTGGATGCTCTGAGTTGTATTACACTGTAATATCCTCTGGCAGTAACCGTTTTGGTTCTTATATATTTACCTCAAAATGCTATGCCATATTATGCTAAATAAGGCCAAAAATGCGATAGGAAATAATGTACTGCCTACATGTAAATTTCTTTAGGAAACTAGTCGTACATGTGATTAAGAAGGGAAATTTGAAATGAAGACTGACATGAACGATAACCGGATGAGTCGACACCTAATATCCGAGATGATTAAGAATCTCCTTCACCATTATTTATGTAACTCACCCATAAACATTTCGAAATCAGTTCTGACGAACGCAATAAAGACTGAACCAGCTAACTTGCTGGTGATAGAGATGAGACAGAGCAAAGAATCATGAAAGCCCCATCGCTTACTGAAGACGGTTATAGAAAACAGTGCACCTGCAAGATATCAAATTAAAAATGTATATCTCAAAGTAAGCCGCTATTTAAGAAATGTGTTTGATACCAAACTGATAACGTGCTAACGTATCTGAGTTCAGTTTTCTTATCGGTCAGAAAACATCGATCTAAATATTTCTAATCACTAACCACGGTTCAACTCTTTACTAAAAACAGTCTTAGCTGTAGTCAACCGCCACTCGTCCTAATTGCGGAAAAGTACACCGTACATGCTTTCCCTATATTACTATGGGTTGGCACTACATCTTTCCAAAGTAAAATAATAATAGTATAACCTTCTTTTCAGGTAGAATAAAAAAAATGACAGTCTGTTTTTATAGGAATAAGATGATGAAAACTCACGATTATTATCAAAAGACAGAAAGTCAATCTGACTAATATTATAAATGCAAAAGTTTAGATGGATGTTTGTTAGAGTTTGTAACTTAAACTACTGAACTGCTCTTTATGAAATTTGGCACAGATGTTGGATAGTCTGAAGGAAGACTACTTACTTTTTTATTTTTATAATTCTACGCGGACGGATTCACGGGCAAACGCTAGTTAAATAGTGTTCAAATATTTGTAGATCTCTAAACGTACTTGCGTCATTCACTACCATCTTTGATCTATTTATAATGATTAAGTTTAAATCTCTTTGTACGATAAATAAATAAGGAAAGTAAATAAAATAAAATGTAACTACATTAACTTACCAAACGAATGCGTGATGATACTGTATGTCGAATAAAGACTATATTTTACAGCGTCCCATTTTAAGCGGTATCTCACGAACATGTATGTTATAATTCTCTCACCTGCAAAACCAAAACATTTTAAGTCTTATATTTGGCAACAACATATACAAATATCAATTTATCATTTTGAAACAGTAGCAACGTCAGATTCAGGATAGATTCGAAAGGCTACTTTTTGAGGTTCAGGAGTGAGGGGAACCACTATTGTAAAGCGGATCGCTAGATGGCGTCCTCGGAGCAAAACATATTGGATAATGGACATTTGGAATGGACATTTGGAACATAAGATGTCCAAAAATTATAACTGAGAAATTGATAATGATTCTCGTCTGAAGTAACGTAAATCTCATTTTTGGGTTTTTTCTATAGTCACCTTTTAGGGTTTTTATTTTCTTTATCTTAAACAGAAAATTTCAATTTCATAATGTTGTAGGTATTTGACGTTTCAAAGATCTGCATTTTCATATTTGACTATCATCATCGTCACCAGCTCACTATACGAGCACGTCCCCACCGAGGGGCTCGGAGCCTAGCGTATTAAAGGGTGACTAGGCCATAGTCAAATCATATTTGACTATACGCATAAGGAACTTGTCCAGGTACGATTACTGCTGCTATAATCTGTCTATTTCTTTATCTAAAAGTTCTCATAAAAATTAAAATCTTCACTTACCATGATTAGGTCCATAAACAATAGCAACTGTCAATAGCGTTATGAGAATTTTTCTTCTTGTTTTACCATCTCGTTTCTTAAAAGCAACTAAAACTGTTTCTTTAATTAATGTAACAAGTTCTGATATTGTTATAGGCTTTTTCTAGAAATAAAAATAGTTATTTGTAATGTTTTCAATAGTAGTTCAATGTTGCATTAAAATTGACAGACCGATTGTTAAAATTCGATTAAAAATAAAAGTTATTTAGCGTACAAGTATACTTTACCTCTTCGTTCTCACCGGAACTTAGCTTAGAGTTTTTCTTAAGGTAAAATAAACCGTATGATAATGTTATCACATATATCGATGCAGTAATCGAGAAAACTCCGTAATAGCCTAGCAATTTTAGCAAAATTCCACTGAGAGCTGTGCCTATAGGGATACCAGCGGTCATACACAAATTCGCAAGTCCAACTCTAAAAGTTCTGGATTCTTCACTTGTGATGTCACTTATATAACTGAATACACCCAAGTAGACCATAACCCATCCTCCTGTTATTGCTGGAAATAATGCTTCGAGAAACATCGTCACTTCAACAGAAACTTGATAGAAGAAAAAGGTGCTAATGAGATTACTAATACACACAAGGAATTCGCCAAAAATAGGTAAAAGTATGCACATTTTTCGGTTACCAGTTCTATCACTCCACGCACCCATAAATATAACTAGTAATGTTGGTATAGCTGTTTGTATGATACTCTTCCATGCTTCTATAGATGATATAACTTTCTGTACTTCACCTTCGTAATGAGTTAGGTTACCATTTCTCTGTAGTAAAGCATCACAAATTTCATCACCAAAGTTAAGTTTTACTCGACAACTTTTGTCCAGATTTAAGTTTTGTACAGCAAGACGAGATAATGTTGATGGTATAATTAGACCAGCCAAAATCGGTTCGACGGTAATATTTGATTTGATAGCACATAATTTTTCGAAGAAAGTCTTACGTTCAAAATCATCTTTGATTTCTTTCTTTTCGTCAAAAGGTTGCTCTTCTGGACTAACAGTTTTCTCTTTAGTTCCAGACATTACTCAATACTTTGTACGGAATGAGAGTCAATCGCACTAATGATAGTTTGTGTTTACCAGTTTCTGAGGTAACAACTTATCGTGTTGAATATGAAGCTTGATAGAAAAACAAAACGAAATATATCAAATGCAATATACAGGGTGTACCATTGTTAAGAAACGTATTTAAATTAAATGTTTTCAAAATCAAAAATTATAATGTCACGTGTCAAATATGTCACGGAAGACATAGTTTTTTTTAGTCATAGAAAAATAAGACATCGATGCCATAAATGTTTAACCACTTGGACTATGTCTATTTCACATTTTGAAGATAAATTAATAGATATCGCGTCATAGTTTGAATAGTTTGAACTAGTTTTAATTGCAAACTCAATAATGATCGCATGATACCTTTAATTTTTTTTTAAATTGGCATGTTTATATTTTCTGATAAATTCTTAAAAATAAAAATCTTGAGACTCTAAGACTTGACTAGAAACAAAAAGATACATTTTAGTTTGCAATCGATTTAAATTATAGTTAAATTATAAAGAATGGACATACTAAGAGATTGGCATTGCACTCCGAAATTAAGATTTTTTTTATGATAAATGAAACATACTATAACAATATTATCATTGTTAAATACACTTATAATTAACTATTTGCACTTGGTGTTGACATTGCCTCTATATCGACCATGAAGAGATAAAGATTTAACAAAAGATCGTTATGAATTACAACACCTCACATAATTGCACTACCGCGTTGTTTGCTCTGGGATAATGGACTTCTGTTTTCAACTAAATAAATAATACCACAAGTAATTCTCTTAACATCTACTAAAATTATCTTTTAAGAAAAATATTTCTAAAGATTACGCAATCTATAATGTCGCTATTGAATTAGACATCTAGATGAGTTTTTTGAAGTCATCGAACCTATAACATACGCTATCTTTTTATACCACACTTTTTGTGAGAATGCTAAGGATGTAGGAAATGTTATTGTTTTCACTATTATGTACTATGTGGTTATCGATGCATTAAATAGGTACCCTATATACTATATGCATACAGACATATGCATGAAAACTTTATTAAAAGTAGTTAAGTTTCTTTTTACGTGAAAAGCATCAGGATTATCATCTCCAGCAGGATTATCATGATCAATGACTTTTACAAGTGTTTAGATATCCTCGAAACTCGAGCTTTGTTTTTTATTCAAATTTTATCTTAATTTGTGGGAAATAAAAGTGAGCAATCTGTTTTAGATTTTTTTTAAGATGTATAATATTTTTAATGTATTACATCTAAATAATTTATAATATTTTATATTTTATTTATTCAATAAAAATTTTATTATCCGTTAAATCAATACTGCTAAGCAAATCTTCCTTATTTTTTTGTTGTACAGTTTTACTCAAATCTTGTTCGCCAGCCATTTCTTTAATTTTCTGTTGCCGCAATCGTTTTCTATTTTGAATGTAAAACCATCTGTAATTTATAAATTTAAATTTAAGAAGAAATGTTTTATGAATCGGAATTACGTACAATGGGAAGGTTGGGAATGGTTAGAAAGGATCTGTTGAATAGACAAGGTATCAAATTAGGAAGTGCTACACAAAAGAAGCCGAAAAGTCCTGGAGTGGCGGCCACGGATAGGTCGTTGCAGCGTAGGTAGGCCTTCCGCAAGATGGACCGATGACCTGGTCAAGGTTGCGGGAGTGCACTGGATGCGGGCGGCACAGGACCGGGCATAGTGGCAATCGATGGGGGAGGCCTATGTTCAGCAGTGGACGACCTAAGGCTGTTAATGATGATGATGACACAAAAGAAAAGAAGAGAGAACGATATATAAAACAATAGAGAATAAGGTAAGAAAGGTACAATGTCTGATACGAGAGGGAAATCAAGTAAACAAAAGTAAGGAGAAATAGACGATAGGAGAAGGAAGGACCAAGAATATAAGAATGAAACAAATGAATGAGAAAGTAGATGTCGTATAAAGAAGTCCATTGAATGGTACAAGATGTTAAAGGTTACTTCACCGACAATTTCAATGGAGTCCTTAAGTTTCTGTCTATGCGTACCCAAAAATCAAAATAGGCGGTACTGTGAGGACTGTGCTGAGGTAGAACACGATGCCAGCGTCTATCTTCAACGTCATCATGTACAGCCAGGAGTAGAAGGGACCAAACATCATCGATGTGAGCACCTCCATTAGATTGAAGAATGACGTCATTTTACCTTAAAACATAGTAATGAAGTAAAAAATCAGTCTAGTTAAAAAATGTCTCCATTAATAGGGAAAGAAGAGAGGTCTGACTAAATCAAGAGAGTACCAAGACTATTCAAATTGTAGTTTTCCACTACCATTAAATTTTTATGGAATTGGAATGAGAGCATTCCGTCTTGGATTCTTAAAGTTAGAATTTCACCACTTCACCCATTATGTGATATGTGTAATACTTTTACTAGACGCCAGTCCTCAGTAAGGTCGTAGTATTTCACCAATCGAAATGGCTAAAGATTGGGCCATAGCAAGAAACAACACAAACACCAGTATGCACGGCTCACAAATCATAGTAAAAACAAACCCAATTCATCACTGGTGACCATTTTCGATGATATCGATCTTAAAGCTGTAAATGACGTTGCATTAAACATTTCCACTGCCACAGCTGAAAGAGATTTAAGAAAAGATTTAATTGAGGACTTAACTAACAAATAAAGATCAAAACAATCTAAAAAGATTATCAGTTATCTCAATATATCAACAGATGGCGCTGTCATAAGTTCCTGTTTACTGAAGGAAATAAAACAAAAATTACCTAAATACATATCTAAGCTGTTTCGTGATAAACCAGTTGCTAAGCCACCGACCATTTTGCTCGCATTCGAAATAAGACCTAACGTAGCGTCGTCCCATTTAAACTTCCGACTGAAAAGGCTTATGGATACAAGAGCTCCTGAAAGTTTCATATTATTATTATAAAAAAAGCATTAATGAAAGAATAATGTGGAATTAATAAATAGTAGAATTGTATCTTAAAAATGTTATATTGTCCGTAATAAATGCCTATTTATATTAAAACAATTTTGTATTGATATACATACCAAATGCATGAATGCAAATATAAAAAGTATTGTAAAAACTATACTTTACAGCATCCCAGTTGAAACGATATCTCGTGAAAAGATATCTAATTGTATATTCTCCTGAAAAATTCAAAACATTAAGGTTATAACGCACCAAATTAGCATGTATTTTTTTCCACAACTTGTAAAAAAAAAATTCAATTTTTGTCTCTGCATAAAAATGCTGGGAAAAAAATTGTAATTGTGATTTTATTTTTATTTGAAGTACAATAATCGAATCTCTTAAATAATTTGACCTTAGTATTATTTCAGTGAAAAATACATACCGTAAGCAGGTCCATAGATAAAAGCTATAGACGCAAGAACGAGAATCGATTTCGTTCTTCGTTTGTTTGGTCCCTTTTTGAACGCAACCGTGAGAGTATCTTTTACATGCTTGATATCGAAAAATGATTTAAGAAACGTTCCCACACTTGATGGCGTATCCTGTAAGTATTTTGTCATGGTTATGGTTCTTAGAAATTCAAAAGAAGTCTTATTAAAGTGTAACGGCATCAAAAGAAAGTGGACTTAAATAACAATGACCCTACTGTCAATTACATTGTCAACTCTTAGCTATCGAACCGTACTATCACTCTATAGCACTAAGAAGATCTACTAAATGCAAGCAACTTAAATATTTAGAAAGTTTAAGGCTGCTTTTTTATTCCTTTGTCTTTTCTTAATGTAATCCTTATCGCAAAGGACTTCTCTACATTTAGATCTAATGTTCTAATTCTTAGATAAACAATATTACCTCTACATTCTTTTCTAACATTGGTCGTTCAGGATCCTTGATATAAAATATTCCGTGCAATATACTACAAACGTACAGAAAGGAACTCAATGAAAATACTCCATAATATCCAATAAACTTTAACAAAATACCACTAAGAGCTGTTCCTATTGGTCCACCGGCAGTAAGACATAAATTAGCAATGCCCACTCTAAACGTTCTTGTCTCTTCAGAAGATATATCACTGATGTAACTGAATGCACCCATATACGTCGTAATCCATCCTCCGGTGATAGCTGGTAAGAATGCTTCAAAGAACATCGTAACTTGAACTGGTAACTCATAAAAGAAATATGCATTCAAAATGTCACTTAAACAAGCCAATAAATCTCCTACAATAGGAAGTAAGATGCAAATTTTTCGCTTGCCAGTTCTATCACTCCATGCACCTATAAATAAAATGAGGAAGCAAGGTAATGCGGACAAAATGATGTTTTTCCATGTCTCCATAGATGCGATTAGCTGTTGAACTTCTAACTCTTCTCTTTGGTATTTGTCTCCTTCCTTTGCGATTAACGCATCGCAAACAACATCGCCGTATTGTAAATTGACACGACATGCTTTATCTAGATTCAAATTTTGTGTCGCCAGTCTCGATAAAACTCCCGGTATCACGTAACCAGCTAAAACTGGTTCTAATGTTATGTTGTCCTTTATATATTTTATTTTCTCTTTCAGACTTTTCTTCTTTACTTTAACCTCCTCTTTCAGTGGCTGTTCCTCGCGTGTTACCATTGTGCATTTGTATCCAGAACTGAATTTGCAAGAACAAAACTTATTTGCGATGTTCAAATGTTAGTTTATGATAGGAGAACTTATATATAGAAAATTATCTGCAATATTATAAATTAAAAGGCAAACATTGTCTTGCATTTATTTTGCAACATAAATCACGGCAGAGATTAAGACGCGGTCGATAACTGTGATAGCAACGCATTGAACGATTTAAAACCCAATAGGGTTTCATAATATTTGTAACTGAAATGGAATTATTTGGTGGGAAACGAGCCAGCGGCCATCTGCATTCATTTTTTTTATAGGCAATTACGAATGCGTTGCCTACTCTTAACCAACGGAGAAGGAGACGTACAGAAGCAGGATATTACCCTTCCTATGGGTCTCTTTCACGGTCAAATCCACTTTTTCTTCCCATCTTATCTAATCTATCTAAGACTATGTTGGGAAGAGAAAGAGACTAAAATTAAGTGTACCACACTTATCAGACATCATCTTTTCTGTGTAGTCGTGGTATTGCACCGGGCGAGCCGGTCCTACAGTGCGAAGATGTTAAAGCAGACTTTACCACTGTCAGCGGATTTTAAGATACAGGAAAAATAATATATAACGAAAGTAATAGATGTGTTCTTAATAGACACATCTTAGTTCTCTCTTTCCTAGACTTTAATAGAATGCTGAATAAAAGCATAATCGCTTTTTTCCTTCAAAAATTTCTTAGCAACTCAACTGCTGACGGATTTCCACTTCCATTGCTTCTTACTAATTTTCTACCATAATAATTTTCGAAGAGAAAAATTCCCGTCGTTTAAATGAAAAAATAACTACGCACTTTTCCTGAGAACAAATGTAATTGTTTCTACTTTGTCATACCTTTACTGTAGGAGTTTATTTTTTTTATTAGCACTTTCATTCTTTTAATAACTACTATAATAAATTTAGTAAATATAGTACGGTTTGAAAAACAACTTTCTTAAATACAATGGAAGTAAATATGAGAATGAAAGTACGGCATCCGGGATTTCGTACATTGAATAAATGGTAGAGATTAGGTATTTGGCTTTAAAAGTTAGCGCCCTCTAGCGGTGAGCATCGGATATAAACGTAAGTTTTCCTAAACATTTTTCCGGAAGAAAAGTAGCGACCATAAGTATAAAAAATATTACATTTTTGTGTCCAAAAATGGCAGGAATCATAGTTGAAATATTTTTGTTGTGTTTTCAGGTCTTTTTTAACAATAATTGTATGATATTATACATTATTAAAACTCTTATTTTTTATTATTCACTGCATACAATTTAGATCTTATCACTGTCCACATAAAGTGTTTGAACAATAAAATTCTGCACAATGATGTGAAGACGGCTTTACACCGTACATCCCAAGCGTATCTGTCAACACACCGCTCGTCATTCGGATATCCGACGGAATAATGCGCCGTAATTCCGCCGTAATACCTGTAATTCTACGCTCGTAATATTCCCGAGCTGTCGTGTGAACGGCGAAGATTTTAGCGCAGGATACCACTACGGTGACATTCGTATTAATACGTATTGCCATCTCTTTCATTTGTTTTGACGAAATAGAGACCACAAATATTTATTAACAAGTGTAGAGTTCTACGGTTACAGGCTTGCTATCTGAATGTTACTTTAATTGCTCGAGATAATCTTGTTGTGCTTGAGTTTTGAGTGCCTTTTGAATACCGGAATCTTATAGACAAGTTTATGTTCTGAGTTTGTAATGTTTTGAGAAATGGTTTAACTTTTTAAGTGTATGATAGACTGATAATGGGGTGGTTGGTGTTATGTATGCGGTTGAGTTAATGGAAGCTCAGTAAATTCCTTTTAAGAGCGTGCGCACACCTGAAACTAAATTATCGCACAATAGTTGTGCGATAATTTAGTTTCAGTTGTGTAGTTCGCGCACACTACTCGATTTTTAGTTGTGCAACTAAACGGTTGAATTAGCTGCGAATCAATCGACAATCGCACAACTGTGTGCGACTGTTGAGTCAAAGGTGTGCGCAGCTCTAAAGCAACAAAACCAGAGTGGACGTGAGGATAACGACATAAACCTCGTTACACACGATCAGTTGTCACTGAGTAGTTAGTAGTTAGTAAACAGTTAGTAGAAAAAAAAGGCAATTTAATTTTGATCATTTATTTAATATAACAGAGTTCTTCAAAAGAATTAATTGAGCAAATAAACGCAGAGCACATAATCACATCGTATAAAATTTACACATAGAATAAATAAAAAGATGAAGCTATCAGCTTTTAGTTCAACATATTTTTTTTATATTTTTCCTCCAACCAGTGATGAACAAGTAACGAGTTTTTAAAATATCACATTTTTACATATAAAAAAAGGATCTTTTACTGATTCATATTTGACTGTCTTATAAAACTTAAATAACTGACATTTTTCTAACATTTTTGTATAATTTTCGTTTTAGACTTCTTAAACAAACGTCTACTTCTATAAGTATGTAATATTTAATTACAATAATTGAAATATTGCGGAAGGTTTTGGCGACAAGTATTGTATTTTGTCAGTACCAGTTTGTTTTAAACGAAAGAAAAATATTATCACGATTGTTCAGTGACATTTTAATAACTTCAAAAGTAAATACACTTCGCAAATAACTAGACGATTGAAGTATTAGTACATAATAAATCAATATGAAACAATCGCCAATACCTTTGATCATTATGCCTGGAACACACAGCCGTAAAAGCAAACCAGAACTGACGCGAAGTGAAGTTTGATACGAGAGAATTATTTTCCCAAAGTATTGCTTTCCAGACTGACTCATTAAATCTAATATGATCACAATCTTTTTCATCTTAGGAGCTTTACAACTCGCTTCGCTTTCGGTTCTCTTTCGCTTTCGGTTCGCTTTCGCTTCCGGTTCGCTTTCGCTTCCGGTTCGTTTTCGCGTTCGTGTGCTACAAGCATTATTGCCATTTTAAACAACAGCCATATAAGGTCACGTGCATGTTTAATTAAAATATTTGAATTATAAAGAAAAAAAGTACACGCTATTTAAATTTGACTTAATTAATCAAAGGAACTTTTCAAACAATTTGATTCGAAACGTTCTGATATAAAGCGCCTTACAATATTTCAGAGCAGTTTTGCATAAAGTGGTAAAATAAGAGTTATAAAATTCAATTCCTTTCCATTATCTTAAAACTGTAGAGATATCTACTTGATTCTATTATTTTTAAATAAATGTACCTTAAACATGTAAATATACGAAAAGGCCAAATTATTATATGAAGTCATTCGGCGACTAATCAAGTTCTTGGGTAAATTTTATTTTATAATAAATTTTATTTAATAATTATTTACTGTTATTCATCTCTGTGTTCTACATAATTTTATTTTACATTTTTGGCAAAAATATATTTGCATTTTTTAAAAAAGAAAATCAATGAATTTTCTATTTCGCAGGTACGTACGAGCACGTTTTTATTTTATTTATAAATTGAAGTATTTTTTCTAATATTGATTTAAATGTGTATGTTACACTTTAATTTATTTTATTAATAATAAAATAAATAAATAAACAAACGATTAAAATAAAGTTTATATAATTTGGATAAAAAAGAAGTAATAAATTACATAGATAAATTATTCTAAATATACCTTATGTATTTATTTGGCTATGTTTTCTCTACAAATAAATCATCTACACATCACATTATGACAAACACGTTGAGTAATTTACATTATTCATTATTTTTATTATATACAAATTCTATGTACGCGGAAACTCCTTATATACCGTAATAGTACTGGAAGTACATTTAATAACAAATAGATTATTTATATATTTCTAACAAATACTAAATGAAAATTATTTTTTACATGATTTTTAAACTATTAAGGGAATAAAGTAAATAATATTATGTGTAATATAATATATGTTTTTTAATTTATAGATACTACAATATAAATTCCAGTGTCTTTACCACAGCTTTGACAAAAATGATTTATTAAACATTATGTAACTAAAAATCAAAATATAATATTACACTTATATATATTTCAATAAAGTGTACACAAGTTTCATCAAAGAAGTTAAAAAAATTACATTAACACTAAAAAAATACGTACAAAAAGACTAGCTATTATTAACTTAACAATTACATATTACGTCTAATTCATTGTTTATTTCAGTACAGTTTAAGAATGAAACAACACCGCTTTAATCTCTAAAGTTAACTGAGTGCGGTTCAGACTCTTTAAACTTTGACTGCGAACAGAATATTTGATGATACTTAGTAAACAGTATAGGGATTGTTAGTGGTAATAAAATAATACAAGAAATTAACGGTTTTTGTAGTTTTAAGAAGGTTTTCCATCAATTTAATGTTTTACTCCGAGTAGAACTAATTAAAAAACAAATTTAACTGTAATGTCCTGTAAAAACGCACTGTTTACGCTCTAAAGACTGTCAGTTATCAAAATCCCTCCTTTAATTTTTCTTCTAAATTGTACAGTACAGTAATGACAACACAAAGTTTTAGTGAATAAACATATATTTTGTTTGCAATGAAAGAGTATAGAGAAACAACTAAAACTGTATTTAACCAATTCTACAGTTTCTCTATTTACTTTCTTTTCAGTATCTTGCTTATCTATATTTCAGTTTATTATAAAACCATTTCATTCGCTGTCAATGCTATATTTTTCAATGAACTCGTATATCAGTAGACCGAATTCTGTTAAAGAATACCGCACTCAGACCAAAGTTCTAAGAACTACATACAGTTAATAGGTGAGCACAACTCGTCTGTGTTAAAATATCTGTTATTTACATATGACGTTATGAAGGACAGCTTACTCGCCCCAGGCACGCCATCATCGCAGGATGTGTCTGTAAGAAACAAATTTTATGGTATCAAAAACTGTAAAAAAAACACTGCTATAACACTCAGGTGATGTAAACCTATGAAATGACACCTCATTTGTCAAAATTGGTTTATTAGTTAAAGCTCTAGGTCAGAAAGGAACTTTACAAGCCCACAATGGAACATACTTAAATCTCTTTCCCCTCGATTAACCTTCCTCTTCCTTGTCCTCTCCTCTTTTAAGCCTCTTCTCAATCATGTAATAAAAACTTACTTATATTAAGGCAAAAACACATCTAAATCAGTAGAAATTAATAAATAAGCTCACCTTAATAATTGGGAGAAAGTAATAGACGAACATAGCGCTGTCAAAAATAAGGACGCTACGGAACCTGTGAACAACGAAAAAAAAATAATGGATTACTTCAATGCAGGAATATTCAAAGACAATCACGCAAGAAAGTATTAAGATTGAACAGATGGCTACAAAGATAGAGGAAGTCCAAAGAAACTATAGATAGATTGTGTAAAAGATGATCTATTTTTTTTATAACATAAGGTGTCAAACGAGCAAGCGGCTACCTGAATCCGCCAAAATAGCGAAGCGACCGCTGCCCATAGACATCCGCAATTGCAGAAGCATTGCCTACCCCTATCCGACGGAGGAGGAGGATACGCACATAAAGAGGATACTTCCTCTTCCTATGCATCTCCTCCACCGTCAAATCCACTTCCTCTTCCCATTCTCTCCTTGTAAGAAAGGGATGGTAAAGGGAAAGGAACTTAAATTAGGCCTCCGGCACCACACTCATCAGACGAAACACGGAATTGCTTCCATTTCACGCCTGTCTTCTGTGTGGTCTTGGTATTACACCGGGCGTGCCGGCCCATTCGTGCTAAAATGTTGAAGCGGGCACTACCCACTGAAAAAAAAAAATTCTTAAGAGGGGAGTGAATTCACATATGATGGCTAGTAAAGGTTTTGAAAAGCTATATACGAGTATACTGTGCCGACCCTTCGTAGGGACAAGGGTAAGTTATGACAAAGAAAATTAGGATCTCTATTTTGAGAGTGGATTAGTTGAACAGTTATATCTGTTAATAGATATTAATGATGAAAAATTGAATTTCACCGTTTTGTACTTTCATTAAATTCGCCAATTTAAATCAACTTAAGTAACTTCTAGAAGTAATTTACGAGTTATTCAAATTTCCAACAACTATAAATTTTAAAACTTTTATTACTCAATAAAATCCACCGGTGGCATAAGTCAGAAAACTTCGAGGTGTCGTAATTCTTATCGGGAAAGGTGAGACATAAAGTTACGATTTTGCCAATGGGCATTTTGATAAGAAACGCTTTACTTGAATAAAAGTATGTGTAAAAATATTTATAGCTTTATTGATCTACAAATCATCACAGACAATACATCTAGTGCGGATGTCTATGGGCCATGATCACTACGCTATTTAGGAGAATTTAAGTGGTCACTCGCTCGTTTGCCACATCATCATATAAAAAATACAGTTGAGTTTTAGAGCAAAAGATAATTTAAGTTTAACTGTGGTTAAAGTTATTATGTAATGACGACAGTCCAAAAGGATATGAAAGAAATTAAACTTAACGAACAAGCCTCTAAGATTCGTGCTGTTTGGAGACTTAGGACAAGGAAGGCCAACCCCGAATAACTGGGAAAAGGCGAAGATAAAAGAAGAAGAAAAGTTATTATGTAATGAATTTTTTTTTTTCATTACATGACGAATGTTATATCAATAATGTTACGGCATCATAGCTTTCATCTAATGATAAATATCATTGACTCGGTAATAACTCCCCGAGCTACTTCAACAAACAGCAAATGTTGTTTGATAAAAGTAAATACAAGAATGGAATACCCAATAAATACTGCTTTATCTCTATCTTATCCGTTAAACAAGCATACTGAACAAACAGACGAACCGATCGCGGTTGCGAGACTCGTGCACTGGAGGCCAACGAATGATATAAACTTCTATAAATTCTTTCTGACTGTCAACAATTTAATAAACGTGAAGCGAAATTAAAAAAAATGAATCAACGCAATATGCTTAATATTATTTGGCACATTTAAAATTTGAAACAAAAATAAATGTGATTGAAAGCATTTTTATCTATAATACAGATTATTTTACTAAAGATCTTGGAATGCAAATGTAAATTTGACTATGGGTATTCAATCTGTTCAGTTAACAATATTGAATATATTAAGTGATACGCAACTGGACGACAATGGACATTATCAAAGCAGGAAGTGCCCGTAATAAAGTGTCCACACAACATTCATTTGTCTACAGTGTCCACGATACGACTGACCGCGAAATTTCGGACACAATATCAGACTGCCTTTGACTGAACGTTTCGAACACATTCAGTCGACGTGATATGTCCTTTACACAAATAAATGACAATTTGAAAACTAGCTGGCAATTAGATACAAGCTACTATATGCAGAATGTAATTTGCGCAATTCATTTATCTTTCCTGCACTTTAAATACAAATTGAAATCCACGAAGAGAGCAAAACGTTTGACGATTTCAATGTAAATGCGGTTATTAAATGGCATAAAAAGTGGAGACCGAGCGTAAAGACAAGAGAAACGTAAAAAGGGAATAGAGACGCAAAAATGATTTGTGTCTGACCGCTTTCATTGCTTTCTTTTGCTTTTGCGAGCTATTCGCAATTTTTTTGTTTGAATATGAGAAAATAATTTTGTCCGCACCAGTTTCCAGTGCCGCTATAAATTAAGCTGGGACAATACACGCTGGATAAATCGTTGTCACGTAAGAATGTCGCATTAGGTGCGGGGGGCGAGGCGGTGAGATTCCCCTCCCTCTGCTCCCGCGACCCGGTGAGATTCCCGTCGGTATGTGGCCGGTGGCGGGGTGGGGCCAGATTGAGGTGGGAAGTAATAACAGAGGCACGCCGCAGTTAGCCCACTACGTTGTTATTGCATTGTATTATTTACGTGCGTCGCTTCTGCTGAAGGCGACAATTGCCGCTCCTCCGGAACGCTTCCGTGATTTAGATTTATTGCTCTTTAGTTTGTTAAACTTCGCTCCCCCAAGCATTGTACGATGGTTTAGTACCTATATTTTATGGTGGTGAAACAATGCGTTTTGAAATGTAGAGAGACGTGACATTAACTTGTAATCTCTAATTTATTTAGATATGTTTATTGGTATGTAACAAACCGTTACATCGTTCATCAGATGTCATATTTTTTTTAAGAGAAGGAGTAAACGATGGACACAGAGATGATCGTCGATGGCCATACCCCACTTATGCGTTGCCAGCCTTTAAATTCCTTAATTAAAAATATGTTTCTAAAATAAAAAAAAACAAAGTTAAGGTTAGTCTTAGTTCTAGCTAAACACGAAAATAATTCTATAACAAAAGAAATCGATTAGAGTACACATGTAGGAGAAAATAAAGCAAACACCATATAGTTAGTATTCTGGTCTTAAAATGTATGAAGTAATAAATTGTTTTATCTTCATTCAAACAAAGGGATATACGAAGGCAACAACACAATGCGCATAGTCATGGAAATCTACGATCCCTTATCAAATTGTCGTTAATTTTCCTTAAAGTGCTCGGTTCTTGGAATCAATACAATTATGACGTGCCACCTACATGCTTGTAGGAAAGCTAACTATCATATCAGTACATAGTATGCAAGTTAGGTAAATTCGAAGAGAAATTCTTCGTAAACTTTTGTAGTAATAAAGTAATAGTAACATAAAGTTCCTGTAACAAAAATAGGTCGTCACAACGTAAATGTGAATCTCACTCAGGTACTTTAGTATAATTATTATCCGCGCTGGCTCGTTCATAATTCTGTCGGATTTACACCCTCGTTATGTGAGTTCCTACGAAAATTAGTCTACACGGCTTTCTTGGGTTATTTACGTCAATGTCGCTTTCGTTTATTGTCTTTTATGTGGCTTTTTTATGGAAACTTCTTAACCGGCAATTTCATAATTAGAACGTTCAAGGTTCAAGGTCGCCTCACGTCATGCACATTTCGTTACACGACAGAGATGAAAGATACATTCGTAAGGAGATAGAGAGAGAAAGAACAATTGATTGCTATAGAATGGAGGATTTCTTTTTCGTAACCATGTCATTTTGAAAACGGAAAATATACTTTTATGTTAATGTAATTTAAGACATAAGACAACTAGTTTTTGATGAATAAATGAGTAAAGAGAGCAATTGAGTTAATGCAAGTCCATAAATTTGCTACAAACAGCTAACTGCATGTTGCTGTTCCAAGAAATCCATTAGTATAATTTATACCAAATTCCAAGCAGCCGGCTTCCAGCATAAGAAGTGTCGCAGCGGTAGTTAAATTAATTTGTAGGTGATGATTTATCACACTGAATAAATATTAAGATATTTCGACTCTTACAAAAGTCATAATGTTAATTCTTATTCAATTAACTAATAATGGAACCATTTCCGTTTAATTATTATCAACACAACTCACTCACATAAAGTAGAGACAATGCGTAAGAACGGATATCTATTCGGTCCTGACACGACTCTCAATATTCACCCTAGTTTCTTTATAGAAATGATTACTAGCTTTCTTTCGCGTTCAAATAGAGAAAACTAAAGTAGGCTATGTGTGCTTCCAGACACATGCAGTAAATCTGTGGCAAATTTCATCGAGATTCGTTCAACTTCTATCAAACCCATCCGTCTAAACATTCGCATTTCTAATAGTAAGATATGGATGACATCCTTAAAATGTCATATTTATGATATGTAAATAAGATATGCAAGCACTTAAACAAACAAATAAAAAGTTGTTACGAAATTGTATGCAGAAAAAACACTTGGCTTACAAAGAGGAACAAAAAACTTAGTCGGGGGAGACACAAAAAGGAAACTGTTTCATCTAATGGAGTAAAGTTCAGGAAACAATTTGGCTAAACATTCGCTAATGGAAATGGAAGGGAGCCAGACCAATGACGAAGTATAGTGAACGTTGATTCGCTTGTTTTTACTCTTGCCACATTTATCGCCAACTTGCGGAATACATGCGTATTCTTTAAGTTAGACGTTATTTAATATTTATGTGGCACGACCTTTATTCTTATTTTTCCCAACCGTACAAACGATTGCTAACAATATTAGTTACCAATAAATATTATTGTTTTTGTGTTCAAATAAAAGAAATATGGTTAGAAAAATGTCTTTTTCTGTATTCTACAATTTCAAATTTTACTCATTTTAGCAATGTTGGGTAACTCAGATGTGATGCAACGAGAATTTGTTACATAAAACCTAAGCTCAGACTATCTCATGTTAACAAACCCCAAGCCCGATAATATACTTTAAAGATT